CGAAATAGTATTTTATAAAGAGGTTATCATTTCAAGGGTCGATTCATTATGTCATTATGTCATCAAAACACTATCAAACTAAAATTTCGACCTTATTGCATTATGAATTCTAACAACATTTAGTGGAAATGGGTCCCATATTTAATTTATAGACCTATCAATTTTATAGACCTATCCATACCCCACACGTAAAGATTTGATAAAAAAAAATCTACGTCCATTCGTTTTTTTTTCTATTTTTGTATGAATATCGTTTTTTTGCCATTTGGCTACGGAACCCTAAAAATGGTGAGCAAAATAACTAATTGGTCTGCGTTTTTGTTGAAAATTCGACAATATACGTTACGGCCGTCTACGTCTGTTAGAAATTCCCGTCTAAACGGGCATTGATAATATTGGGAAATTATTAAGCTAATAATAATACGCTAATTTCAAGAACCTTACTAATTGCCTGATAACTTTTTGATTTGATCTCATGTATAATTATAACAATAAAACATTTTGTTACTATTTAATTTTAAACTCATTGTATCAGAAGTTGCTTTTTTTTTATTTCGATCTCGATTATAATTTTATTATAATAATAAATACTTAAGCTTGAGCATCTACTGAGGTAGTGTACCAAGTTAATTCGTTTACATTTTTGATTATTTAACTCAATAAAAATTTATAAGAATTAAATTTGTTTTTTATTAATTTTCACTTTTATAAATAATACATACCCAAACCAAACAAACACATCCACTCAGACAGTAAATAAAATTTTTGTAAGGATGGCGCCCAGTTTGAGCATGACAAGTACAGAATTCCATTTTCCACTGCAATGGAAATAGTGGGACAAATGTTTCCTCCAAATTATTACTTATTTCTATTGCGGTTAAAAAACGCAGTTGTCTTATTTTTAACCCGGCGTTCGCACAGTTGGGTCTATTTGACCCGAGCAGTTTTCAAATGAGCGTGTTTCTTAAAATGTTTGTGCGACTTTGCCAAACTTCTCAGTAGCTGGAGCTAATGGTCCCCCCCTCCACGTGGGATTTGCCAATCAGTCGTGTTGCGGCCGCAGCGAGTGATAGACACGGCCAAACACGAAAAAGGTAAATATGACCCAACCATACTATTCGTGTCGTAATTTTGCGCCGTTTAAAAAAATGTTTTATTGTTGTTTTATATTGTTTATTTTGTTATTTTTGGCAAATATGTCTGAAATAAATGCGTACATATTACATAACGCCAATTTCTAAAGAAACTTAAGCCTTATACTGGTTCGTGAGCATTTGCGCAATCGTAAAGATGTCATTCAGTTGCTAAGACTTATACGCAAAAGAATAAGAGAGTTTTTAGGAGTAGGTACCTGATGAGGAGCCACCTGTGAAGATACTTTATGTAAGAAAGAGATGCCAAGACTGTTCTGCCAAAAAAGATAGAAAACTAATAATTTTCGGAGCTGTATATGCAAATACATCTGCAGTGACCATGCAATGTTGTACTGCCGAGATTGCGCAGATGATAAGGATACTATGACTGACGTATGAGACTGATACAAATAGTATAATATTATTAGTTTACTAAAGATTTGATTAACATGTAACAAATTAGTTTATGTTATATAAAAAAAAATGTTTTGTTAAAATTTTATTACTTTAAGACAGAGGTTGTCCATTTTGTTAATATTTTGTGACACTTTTATGAAAATGACATTAAAAAGATAGTTTCGTATCATGTTGTGTTTTTTTCTACTCAAAACCTATAACGATAATCGTTTTATACAGATAGTACAACCACATACCAAATTTATTTTAACTTTTGTAATTATGGCGTTTTCTTATACGGTCCTCTCGACCCAACCCTACTGTCGTTGATGCATATTTTGACTGTGCTGACGCCGGGTTAAATAAATTTCTAAGGAGATATTGAGAATTTAATCTATAGAATAAAATAAAAACATAACTTCTCGTTAATTATAAAAAATAAATAGAGAAAAAATTATGCATCTTCCATTTCTACTACTCGTGGTGACCTACACGAATGATTTTCTGATAGATTTTTATTCCCTTCTCATCGTATTTATTCCTTATATTTAGCCTTTGTTTTTAGTTCATCCTTTCAATCACGTAGTAACAAAATATGTAAGCCCAGTGCATGATCTGCGTAGATACATAATCATTGACGTGTTCAGATATTATTGAAAAGTTGTATGTTCAGATATTATTGACAGGCATCTGCTCAGATATTATTGAAGTAATGAATGTTCAGATATTTATGGTCACTTGTAGCGTATAGAACTTAATGACATTTTAACTGTTCAGATGTATTTGGTCACCTTGTATGCTCAGATATATCTGATGGCGACTGTACACTGAAATCTAAACAACTACAACATGGCCGATCTGTTAATTTCGTTTATTCCCAGGCGGAAACTATAATATATTTTAGTTTCATAGGTCTCCAATAGAAGAATCTGGCAGACAAAGCATCGGTTTAGTTACTAATATTTAAAGGATACCTTGCTGTCATTTCACCAGAAACTGGTGGAAATTGGCCATAAACAATGAAACAAATTAATAAAACAGTACATCTATATTGCACTATAACATTTCCACTTGGTACTGTACAAAATAGGTGTTATGGAACCGGGCAATATAACACGAAAAACACAAATCTTACACAACGATACCGTTATCTAGTGAGTGCAGAAAACACACAAGAACTGTTCAAAATGGAAGGTACACAACATGGTATAATTCAGGGCGCAAATACATATATTTCAAAAACACTCAATAATATTTTTAAATATTTACATAAAAATATTAAGCTACACAAATTTTGATGCCATACAAAAATATTTTTGGTATTTCAATAACTTTGTACGCACGCCTCAATTGTAAGCTATGAGAAAGAAATACGAAAATACACATTTGAAATAAGATAATGTTATAGCGATTGGTACTCACAGAATATTGCTCATATTGATTTCATTACAACCATGATTTAAGGTGATCCAATAAGTCTGATTTCTTTAACAACATTATTATTATAATTATTATGTATAGTCTAATAAATTACAATTTGTCATTCATTTATTATATACATTCCGGATTTCAATACCATCCATACAATAAAATATTTTCATTTGTATAGTTTCAATCTAGGCGCAGATTACACCTTGAATGAAAACACTTTCCTATTTAAAAAGGCAACTTCAAATTAACATCTTATTTGTAGAAATAGCTATACAATAATTGAGTTTTTATTGTATATTTGAGTTACTACTAGCACACTCATTACGCCGGCACTTCACTTGGCTAATCGTAATTGCTTTAACAGTCTGTCCTTGTCATGCTTTATAAGGAATGAAAAGGACAGAAGAGTTCAGTTTACAAATAGCAAACACGAATAGCCAGATGAGGTGAAGTGTCGGCATTATATTCATTTTTACTACTTATTATGGATATTGTATAGAGGAATTGGAGCGCAGTACGTGTTACATTATTTAATTAACTTATGTTTATATTAGGCATGAAAATCTTTTGCTCAATTATAACCACCAACATGGATCTATGTCCATGATTCAAGGGCACACTACTAATACTAGTTAGAACAGTTTATTATTATGAAGCTATCGTTCGAACACTGATCTTGTGCTACTTATCACGAATAAAGAAACGTTAATACTGTACATGAGATTCTACTGCCCTACTCTATATCAATTTCAGTTTTTTTTCTGTACCATCATCTTTACACAAACCAATTTATATAAATGCACTATTAAATGAACTGATTATTTATTGCTCCATTATGAATATGAATGATAAAACATTGTTAAAAAAAATACTAAATTGAATTCGTATTAATTGATAACTTATTGAGCATATATAAAAAAATGTAACTTAAAATGGTTGTGTTCATTTGTGCTATGGAATATGCATAACCATAGATAAATGATTGGTCTCGCTATGCTCGACTAGATACCGCCGGCATACTGATGAAATGCGGCAATCAATACTACACCAATTTCGGCTTACCCGAACCTTCACCGTGTTAGCCTCATTGACAGCTGCGTTTGAGGTGTTAATGCCGAATATTTTATTAAATTTTGAGCACAATTCGCAGTAAAATGCCAGTTTTTGTAGTGAAACACTAAAAATAATACGTCAAAAAATAAAAAGGACACTGGGATCACATACCATCAGTAAGTATCTTACAATTTCGAAATTTCGACGTAAAATTACATGAAAATTAAACGTCATTCAGTGTTGCCAAGTACGCAATATAAAAGTCCCTATGGTTGAGATTTTTATAATATGAATATATTGTTATATGACCCATTTCATTTGACCTCTTTATGAAATACAAACTATTCGTGTCAGGGAATCAAAAATATTTGCAAAAGGGGGGGGGGGGGTATCAGATTTTTTGGAAAAATTGTTGAAATTTGTGATGTGATTGTGATGCATATATAAGTACTAGCAAGTGCCCGCGACTTAGTCTGCATGTAAAAAAATATTTTCCACTCAAACCTCCACCCTCTGTCACCCTGAGGTAGCAGTTGAGCAGCTGGCTACACTTTTTTTCGAAATGCAACACCGTCCTTGCAAAGTGACATACACACACTACGATAATGAGTTGCCGCTTAACCGGAGCTGTTGTTATTTGATAGCGCGGTATCTAGTGGAGTGAAGCGAGACCAATCATTTATCTACGTGTATAACTTTACTAAGATTTGAAGACTTCATAAAAATCATAATTATTATGTTAGTTCTAGGATGTATTTGACTGAAAATTAAGGTCAGACAATAGTGCTAGAAAAGTAATAAAATAATATGAAATATAAAATTACTCTTATTCCTATTTGTTTCTTAGGTTTTCACGCACATCACTGATTAAATAAAGCTAGTTTTTACGGGTTAATGCACGAAACTTTATTTATTTATTGACGTTTCGTAGCCTTTACAGCCTTTTCATTCTGACGACGAAGCCTGTAAAGGCTACGAAACGTCAATAAATAAATAAAGTTTCGTGCATTAACCCGTAAAAACTAGTTTTATTTACTCTTATTCCATTTAATGAACGCATATTCCACAACACACATGAGCGCTTCCTACAAAAATAGCTACATAGCAGTTTAACATACTGTAAAACGGTACACTTTTTCTTGGAAATCACATTCATCACTTTTCCACGCACTCTTTTTGTGACTCTTAGTTGGACGGCATAGCAGTAAATGATATAAGATAAGCTCGATCTTTAAATAAAATCACGCTGAATATGAAAAATGCGTAGGTCAGCCTTCAAGGTACATTAAAACAAGTAATGGATGAAATGGGATCTACATTTCCACTTCTATGCAAAGTGCTAAATTACTAGGATTAAAGTCAGCTTATTTTGTCTAACTACTTACTAAAGAGGATGAGGCTTTGTCATGTCTCTACATCTTAAAGTGACTGAAGAAATAATAATATTAAATTGTTTTGTTAGTCGTCAACACAAAAATTATTTGAACACTTTTTATAAATTGTTGAATTGAGTTACAAGTTGATATTTTAGGATGTTTTATTCATGATTTTAATATTTGTTAATTTTTCTAATATAAGATTTTTTTCTCATAATAATGTACATATATTTAAGTAATAAATACAAATACTTACATAAAAGACATGAAAATATAAAAAAAAGGTTTGACTAGAAGAAAAATTATACAATATGAATAGAGATCTTTGAAAAATAATATATTAAATAAAGCATCATTTATTTTTTGTTGCTTTCTTAAACTATCAGTAATTTATTTCAGTACAAGAAATTCTGAATTAACCATGCTTTCAGTAACACTCAAGTCAGAGATGGGTGGACTAGATTTTAAAGGAAATCTTACAGTAATACACGCAATATAAATGAACACAAACTTATTACGATAATAGAATAAATGATAGAACACACATTTAAAGATCTACAACCATTTCGTCAAGAATAAGAAACAAGGAATGAATTTTATCTTGAGACAATATTACTCCGTTTAAAATACATAAGTATTAGAAAGGAAAATAAGTATTATTTATATTGCATGTAATGTGATTAGACATGCAAAGAATAAACCGTACTCTACAAAGAGCATAAAATCGATTATAAAAAAAAACAAGTGTAAGAGATCCTTGTATAAATAAAGGTTTTCGCATTTACGTCTACTTACACATACAATTGTACATAATGTACTAAATAACTAACGACTTCTTTTATGATCCGACAACTAAATTAGGGCACACATTATAATATCAATAGGTACTTAAAACATACATAAAAAAATACACCACAAAAGAAGTCGTAGTTGTATACACTGTTTCCCGTGGCATATGAAACAATTTGAGCAAATGGTTAGGAATAAACAGGACGACTTGTAGGCCTCAAGTCATCGTTAAAAACTATGATTAGACACAATAATAGAATAGTTATTTAAAAACTATAGGAAATTAAAATACGTTTCATTTACATAATTAATGATTTTATAAAATTTATATAAAGTAATATAAAACAAAGTGGGGGTCTAAAGAACCCTTATATGCAAATCATATAAAATTGTTCATGCCACTCCCTTCATATACAATTTGATGGAAATACTTTCCAGTATTTTTAAAGCTGTCGACGTGATAATGTGATGTAAGTAGATATTTTCTTACAAGATTATCGTAATTGATAAAAAATTAAAATGACGCACGAGCATCTTATTATTTGATCACAGTAATCATTATTAAGCATGAGTACACATTTTGATGAAACTTTGTTTAATGGCAATCATATAAATAGGTCTTGAATGCTTTTTATTATAGACTAGGCGTTTCCAATCAGCTTTATTAATTAGTTTAATTTGTATATGCTAGTAATTGGGTTTCTATTTTTAATTCTATAGAAATAGGTGTCAGCATATGTGGACCCGTATTCTGTAATGTCATCATCATAGCAAACAAGAAGGCTAACTCGAAGTACTCACGAGAAGGCGCTTTGGTATTCCATGAGCGTTCACATATCCCATATGTTGAGTTGACAATACGATCTAAATGAGAAAAATAGAATTTGTAACTATTCAAAAGTTTTAAAGTAATTTTTTATATCTCAAGGATACATTTAACTATAAAGACGTAACTATTCCCAGTTTCCTGATCTGATTTCAACTCGTATCACAACCACAAAGTACATAAATCCAGCGAAAAAAATTGTCATATAATAGAGAATTTACATCATTAACACTCAATCGAAGAGTTTGTAGTTCATTTAGCAAGGCATGTAAAGTACGAGCAATAGAAAAAAAAATATTTGTGACCTACTACTCAAAACAAAACGCTATCTGAATTATGTTAACAGTGGATCTGATTCTGGCTTGATTCCCTAAGCCTAAAATTAAAGGAGATTGCTCAAATTGGCCCAAATGCACAAAAAATATTGACATCCACGGTAATTCTAGGCGTAATTTATAATTTAATTTACAGTCATTAGATTTCAACGGACACCTTTGTATAATATATTTACTTTAAAAAGGACTTTTAATTTTACCGGTTTGGAAAACATACGAATCATTTTTAATGGCTATGGATGTAGTAACATTCAGCCAAAGACTGATCGAAGTTGTTTATATAACATAAAAACAAATCTATTTTGTACACGTAGAAAATAACCTATCTGAGTTTATAACAAAAAAAAAACATGATTTCTAATAGATACCACGAAAAATATAGTAATTATCATTATTGTATTGTACGAGAATGTAAAAACACATCCTTGAAGACTCCAGGAAAGTTGTGGATTAAAGTGCCGAAAGAAATTAACCTACGCAATACCTGGTTAGAACTTGCTAAAAGTGATCCTGCAACTTTATCGACTCATAGTAAAAATTATTTTTGCGAAGATCACTTTGATGTAAGTACTCATTGAATAATATTTTAAGTCTCTTCATTTATTATCAGTTTAAACAATACAAGTTTTAAAGTTATGTATGAATGACATTTAGTTGTTTACTAAAAGAGACGTCACAATCATGGCGGATGTGGCGAACAGCGTTTTTAGTGTTTAAAAAGTATAGATATTTTTTTTTAAATTAAATTTCTACAGCAATCTTCTGCTTTTATGAAGTGAAATCGATATATTTAGGTTCCTTAGACCAAATACTTTAAGAAATAAACATTTATTTAATACAAGTCGACATGAGTGAACTAGCCTATTATGTTAGACTTTAAGGTATCTATCTATGGGCCTATGTTCCCTGACTATAAATAAATAAAATTATAAGGTATGATACACTAAAAATCTAAAATATGGTTATCTTAAAAACATAACAAAAATAATGAAACTACTGAATATGGTTATAGAATATAGAAAATAGAACCTAAATCTCTTAGCTTTCTTTGGTTAACGAGAGTTTAAAAATTCTCTCTAATCTGTGGCTCATTCACAATCATCACACAGTTTCTGTCACAGAGTACCTTATTATAACCGGAAATGCATAGATAACACCTGATTTTAAAAGTTACTCTTATGCATTAACTTTAAAAACAGGCAACTATCTGTTAATCTACATGCTCTATATACCTGAATCAAATCCATAATTTCGGTACTTGGCTTGATTTCCCTAGTTTACTATATAACTTATTTGTTTTTTATTATTTTAATATGTTCAGTGTATATGGTTTACAGAAGTTCTCAGGGGTGTCCGTCAATAATATTCGTTTCTACAGTAATTTATATATAATTTTGAATCTAGGAAACAATTTTTCATGATTATTGGTCTTTAGGCCAAACATGTATGGAAGCTGAGCAATCTCCTTTGACAATAGTGTATTCTTGCCATGCTATATTTTTCTTGAAAAGGAGTTGTCAAATTAAGTTTTAGGTTTAGATAATGCCAGAATGCCAGAATTAGACCCAGTGTGTAAGTAATAGTAAATCTGCGTTATGGTTATAAACTCACTCGCTTGTTTGACCATTCGATGACCTGGCAGCGAGGCAGATGCTCGCGCAGATAGTCGAACAGCTCGGGCGAGTGTCGCATCTGTATTAGACTATGGTTAAGGACTCAGTCGCTCGATGATCTAGCAGCGCGGCAGGTGCTCGCGTAGATAGTCAAACAGTTCGGGCGAGTGTCGTAGCTGTGTTAGACATGATTATATACTTACTCACTCGATGATCTGGCATCGAGGCAAGTGATCGCGCAGATAGTCAAACAGTTCGTGCGAGTGTCGTAGCTGTATTAGACTATGATTATGGACTCACTCACTCGATGATCTGGCATCGAGGCAAGTGCTCGCGCAGATAGTCAAACAGTTCGGACGAGTGTCGTAGCTGTATTAGACTATGATTATGGACTCACTCACTCGATGATCTGGCATCGAGGCAGGTGCTTGCACTGATAGTCAAACAGTTCGGGCAAGTGTTGTTACTGTATTAGACTATGATTATGGACTCGCACATTCGATGATCTGGCATCGAGGCAGGTGCTCGCGCAGATAGGCGAACTGTTCGGGCGATTGTCGTAGCTGTATTAGACTATGGTTATGAACTCACCCGTTTGATGATCTACTCGATGATCTGGCATCGAGGCAGGTGTTCGCGCAGATAGTCCAACAGTTCGAGCGAGTGTCACATCTGTATTTGACTATGGTTACGGTCTCAGTCGCTTGATGATCTAGCAGCGCGCCAGGTGCTCGCGCAGATAGTCAAACAGTTCGAGCGAGTGTCGTAGCAGTATTAGACTATGATTATGGACTCACTCACTCGATGATCTGGCATCGAGGCAAGTGCTCGCGCAGATAGTCAAACAGTTCGGGCGAGTGTCGTAGCTGTATTAGACTATGAATATGGACTCACACACTCGATGATCTAATCGATGATCTGGCATCGAGGCAGGTGCTCGCGCAGATAGTCGAACAGTTCGGACGAGTGTCGTAGCTGTATCAGACTATGGTTATGAACTCACCCGTTTGATGATCTACTCGATGATCTGGCAGCGAGGCAGGTGCTCGCGCTGATAGTAGAACAGTTCGGGCGACTGTCGTAGCTGTATTAGACTCTGATTATGGACTCACTCGCTTGATGATCTACTCGATGATCTGGCATCGAGGCAGGTGCTCGCGTAGATAGTCGAACAATTCGGGCGACGCTCCTGCACAGTTCGTAAGCTCCAACTCTCGCAATTGTCGTAGCTGTATTAGACTCGATAGTCCCCCCGACGTTAACAGTGGGCAACCTGCGGATGTGAATTGACCTTTATTGAGATGGCATATTAAATACTCATTAGGCCGCACCCGGGAGCAAGAATTTTTTTTTAGTGTAATTAAAGGTCGTCTTTCTTTTGCGTATTACACATCAAGTTTCACTCTACAGTTTGACAGTGAACGCTCAGTCAATTCTCTTTATCTGCTAATTAAGATTTATATATACGTACCCGCCAATGAGAGTAACTGTATGGACCGCATGCCACACAGATGCTGCACGCCAAAGTCTCTCAGCTGCGAGCACCACCGCAAAAATAACGCGACCAAAGACTGCATCGTGCTGATGTACCCCACGCCTATGTCCGTTATGTGTACGCATCTGACATAAACAAGTACATCATTTATATCATCAGACTCATAGTTTATTTAATCTTAAACTAGCAAACCAGTGAACCAAATGTTCACCAAAACCTGATTTCTCGAAAACCGGAAGTGCTACGTTACTCAAATCCGGTTTGTAGTCTTATCAGACTATTCTTAACTTTCTCTTTATCTATCTCTTACGGTTTGGCCGCTGAAACAGCACCACAGACAGACGGACGGACTTGTCTAATAGATAAGAGATGCCTTTACATTGCATATGGCGGACTTAATGCCCATATGGCATTGTGTACCAGTCGACCGGAAAGAACGTGCATGGTCAAATTAAACAGCAGACAATAAAAAAAGAGTAAACATCAAAAAATTATAAAAATAAAATAGTACAACTCTATACATAAATAATATACATATCTACCTATAATGTCGTGTCCGATTATAGTATCCTGATTGAACTGAAACATTTTGCGATAGATTTAAATAATGTTCCCGCACCAAAGTCACGAGATATTTCTAGAGAAAATGCATTCCAGAGTCGAATGACAATAAGAATGAATGAATTAGAGACAAACTAAGTATGGTGAATTAATGCCCCCACTGCTGGGGTACAGGCCTTCCTCATGAATGGAATAGGAATAAGATTGACCTACCACGCGAAGCCAGTGCGCATTGGTGGGTGGCAACCGCTAAACGTGCCTTCCGAAGCACGGAAGACCCTGAGATAATTTTTTTTCACCCATCCAAGAAATAACAAAGATACATACATAATTGGTATTGTGGTTGAGGTCGCAGGCGATGTATTCGAGCGCGTCGAATTGAGTGTGCCCCCCCCCTTTCCCCCTCACGAGCGTGAGCTCCTCGAGGTGGTTGAGGTCGCAGGCGATGTATTCGAGCGCGTTGTATTGTGTGTTTCCCCCCCTCCCCTTCCCCCTCACCTGTCGAGCGTGAGCTCCTCGAGGTGGTTGAGGTCGCAGGCGATGTATTCGAGCGCGTTGTATTGTGTGTCTCCCCCCACTCCCCTTCCCCCTCACCTGTCGAGCGTGAGCTCCTCGAGGTGGTTGAGGTCGCAGGCGATGTATTCGAGCGCGTTGTATTGTGTGTCTCCCCCCCCCCTCCCCTTCCCCCTCACCTGTCGAGCGTGAGCTCCTCGAGGTGGTTGAGGTCGCAGGCGATATATTCGAGCGCGTTGTCCGTGACCCGCGGACACCAGCTCAGGTCTAGGCTGCGCAGTCGCGGCAGATTCTCCGCCAGTAGTTCGACGCCCTCGTCAGTGACTTTGCTGCATCCGCTCAAGGATAGCACCGTAAGATTTGGCAGCGAATGCACTACGACGAAAACCAACAAAAATTAAGGATGATGCCGGTATTTCTATTAGGTATTCGTTTTTGATAAGTTTACAAATAGCAAGTATGAATAGCTAACTGGTGTGCTGGCATGACAAAGGAAGACAATGTTTTGAGGCATCAACTACCTTCTCCATTCATGAAAACGAGCTAATTAACTCTCTTTAATGAAACAATACTTTTAAATATAAATATCACTCACGAAATACTAAATGAGCAGCATATAGATACTGAACACAATAAATGATCACATTATTTTTAACTTGCACCTTTAGATGATACGCATAAAGTTCAAAATCGATTGAAAACATGCACTATCCCTCTCACAATGTATTGGTACTTAAAGTCACTATGCCTCACCGATGTTGACGACCCCATGGTTAGTGAGCTCCCAGCAGCTGTGTAGGCGCAGCACGCTGAGCGACGCGCTCTGTTTCGGTGAGAAATAGCCTAGAGCTGCGTCGGTCACGTGGTACGCTTGCAGCGAGAACTCGTATAAAGACGGTAACAGTTGAGCTACGGCACCCACCTGTTTACGAGAGTAAGGTACTGAGTAAAACCTCTGATAACAACATAAGGAAAGATAAAAGATGGGCATCGTTTGGGGCGGATTCACCCAAGACCTTGCCGGGGCTGCAGGCTGTGAGGGGCGACTGGAAAAGCTGCGTGGGGTGGCAGAAGTCATATAAAAGGTGCAAATCCTAAATAGCCCGGGGCACCAGATTTCAAAATACGCCTCTGGGCATCATCTCAATCGTGTTTCATGGTTTGTTAGTAAAATTTTACTTATTTCTTACTACAATACCGGGATCTACAGTTGACAGTTACACAAAAAAGAAGAAAATCTGTTGTAAAGAAATAAAGCAACAAAAGTAAATAAAATTTCCTTTAAAATATTAAAAAATAATGCGAAATTAAACTAAAAATAGAATATTTCGATACATATTTATCTAGTAAAATTGAGAGCTGTGTATTAAATAAGATAGAATTTAAATAATACAGGGTGTACCATAAGTATTTTGAAATTGAAATTTCGAATAAAATTCAAATGGCGCGCTGGATTGGCGTGCGGGGTGCAGAGGAAGCACCAACGGTCTTTCGGAATTCAGTGGCCATGGAGCGTTTCACCGGAGCGGACCATGCTTTTTGTGTGCGTGTGTTTTATCGAAACAATGATTCGGCCACCATTTTTTTCCATTCGGCCACCAGTGATGAAACCCTCGTCGCAAATATCAAAGGCCCTTACATAGCTTTAGGCCCCCTCCTTTTTGGAGAACGAACATGGTCGTGCGATTACTGTTACTTCGAAGCGGTATGTTGCAATGATCGAGGATTTTTTTACACCAGAGTTGCAGAATTTTCCAAGTTTAAATACCCGTACCTGGTTTCAACAAGATGGCGCAACTGCCCATACCTCTAACACCGCTTTGCCCGTCGTCCGTCAACTATTCCCTAACAAAGTCATATCTCGAAGAGGAGACATTCCCTGGCCACCACGTAGCCCGGATTTGAGTCCAGTGGACTTTTTCTTATGGGGTTAAGTCTAAAGTCTACGAAACAAACCCACAGTCGATTGATGAACTAAAAGAAAATATCCGGCGAGAAATCTCAAGCTTTTCAGAGCGTACTTGCTGTACAGTGATAGAAAATTTTAGTTGTCGTTTACAGGAGTGCCAAAACCGAAATGGAGGATATTTAGATGAAGTGATTTTTATAAAATAATTCCCTTTTAATGTATATTACTAAACAATAAATTAAAATTTAATATTGTACATAGTTTTTTTTAAATTCAGTTCAAGGACGTATGGAACACCCTGTATATCTAATATCAATTTTAAAAGATATCCCATACTTACAGCCTCATCAGCAATATTAATGCAGTCAGTAAGCGTGAGTGAGACAATTCGTGGTGTTAGACATGCCCACAAACCAGCCTCAGTTATTTCATTGCATCCAGTTAATTCTAGCTCAAACAGAACCTAAAAAATATAAGATTATATTTTATATGAACCAATATATAATAAAAAAATAACTTTAAATACATTTTAACAGTCATTTAGAATTTACTTTAACCATGTCTAACCTTGTTAGCATATTAGATTAATCAATTTGTAGGATTCATTTAAATTATACACTTCTAGACACATCTATTAGCCCTCCTTGTATTTTCAGTTTCGTTGGGTCCTAGGTAAAATTTTATATTAGGTCGAGCAAAAAGTTTTTATGCAGTTTTGAACCTGACACATTCACAATTTCATTCAATAGTCTTTTATTGAATTTCGAACACAGAATTTAAAGAAACAAAAGACAATTTGGAGCCTGTTTGTTGATATCAAACAATCGAATACTAATAAAACTTGGTTTTATTAGTTTACTTGGATTTAATTCTTGAAAAAGTGATTGATATCTTTGGTTTTGCAACAAACATTACTTATTCTTAACATTAAGGTGAGGTTCTATCAATAATCTATGGATACTTCACCTGAAGTCGCCGCCCAAGCTGTGGCACTTATTCAGGCCGGACACAGCCAAAGAAACGTGAGTGCTCAACTTAATTTAAGTCGATCTGCGGTCCGAAATGTTTATCGGAGGTACCTAGAGACTGGCGGCTTTGTTCGTCGCCAAGGAAGGCCACGATCTCGGGTCACAACTGAAAGGCAGGATCGATTCATCGTGACGACCAGCTTGAGAAATCGTCACCTTACCTCCATTGAGATACAAAAACAAATTCGCGACTTCCACGGAGTATCTGTGAGCGCTCGAACTGTTCCGAGAAGGTTAAAAGAACGCGATATGGTACCACACAAGCCAGCTAATGGGCCCAAACTAACGCGAGCCCACCGAACAGCGCGCCTTCATTTCGCACGCAGTCATTTAAATTGGACACAGCAAGATTGGAGCCGTGTACTCTTTTCTGATGAGTCTAAAATTGTGTTACATGGCAATGATGGAAGGAAGAAGGTCTACCGACGTAAGGGAGAGCGTTTCGCACAATGCTGCTTTGAAGAGAGGGTTGCTTATGGCGGTGGCTCATGGACTGTCTGGGGCGGTATATACACGAGCGGCAAAACTCAACTTGAGGTTGTTACAGGACCACGGCTGCCAACATTAAATGCTGAAAGGTACATTCGTGAGTGCTTAGAACCTCACGTGATACCATACGCGGACTATGTGGGCCCAAATTTCTTTTTTATGCATGATAATGCAAGAGCCCATGCGGCCGGCATCGTCAGGGAATATTTTCGGGATGTGAACATCACAGTTATGGACTGGCCAGCCAGAAGCCCAGACATGAACCCCATTGAGCACATGTGGAACGAGCTAAAAAGACGTGTTAGGGCTCGTCAGCCAGTTGCCCAGACGATGCAGGAGTTCAAAACTGCCATAGAAGAGGAATGGGAGATGATCCCTCAAAATTTCATAGAGCGGTTGATAAACTCTATGCCTAATCGTATGAGAGTAAATTATTATAGTAGAATGCTTAGTAAATGACACCAAAAGCTAACCTGACCTCTACTAATGTGAAATTTATTTTCATATTGATGAAGTTTTAATTGGTAAAAGCGCTTACGACAAAATTCTTTTCAATTTTCCGCATGCTGCACAGTTAAATTAGCGTAAGCTTATCGATACTGTTAAACGAACGTTAGGTTATTTAAAGCCTCCCAAACAAACCTGTAAATGGTCCAGTATAGCTTCCAGCCCTCTGTCGGTGATCGTGCAACCTTTCAAGCTGATCGCATGCACGTGGTGCGCGGACAGCGGGAATTGCCTTATGAATTCGTTTATGTCGTCGTCTGCAGCGGATATTAGAAGGACGCCACGTATTCCGCGACGAACTAGAGAGTTGTAGAATCGCTGCGTACAACAGCCAGTGGTAGCACGCACTTCTCTACAGTCCACAGATGCGACCAAGCCCGCCCACCATCGAGGCGACGAGTATAACAGGTCCCGCCATTTCGTGCATACCTGCCGTTCATTTTATCACTTATAGAAGGAGTTCTATTGAATATTGGTGCGCATCTACCGTGCGTCGATAAGGTTTCAATGGCTATCTATTATTATTGGATAGGTGGAATGGAGTAGAACGGGACAGACTTAGATTTTTTTTGTACTTACATAAAAATAAAAAAGAAGCTAATTGACAACGAAACGATAGTTTTTGCGATAATACGCCTGGTCTATGTCGCGATCGAAAGCTGATATGTGGGTGTGCAACAACTGCAGATGCAGCAGGAACCAACAATTTAATATTACTGTTTTTGCTAGCAGCTTTAATGTTTAATGAATGTTTTGAACAAAATATATTCTAATCATTTGGAATAGCATTTACATCATATACTAAGTACATACAATCACATAAAAAATCTGTGATGTAATTAACAAATACCTATGTTTAGTAAAATAACAAATTTCTTGAGCAAAACCATAGACAGATAATATTTGTTTCTTAGGTTTTCACGCACATCACTCATTAAATAAAACTAGTTTTTACGGGTTAATGCACGAAACTTTAATTATTTATTGACGTTTCGTAGCTTTACAGGCTACGTCGTCAGAATTAAACTTTTATTTAATTTGTGGAGCTACCTTCGAAAGAAGGTTTCGTTCGGTTTCGACAAATTAAATAAAAAAACTAGTTTTATTTCATAGACAAATAAACTTGCGAAGAAATATTTAAATATGTAAAATTACTACTGCGCAGGCTTCCTTGTCTATAGTAGATGCTCAAAAACTTTGCCGGGGTGTATATTTAATACACAATAAAAGCAGCTATCGACATTATCGCACGACTGACCTGTGCGAGCGTGCGCCTGTCGTTCGCGTTAAAGTACAGAAAGAACTTCTCAAGGAAGCGCTCCTCCAATATGAACTGTGTCCAGACGAGCGGGCGCGGTGAGGGGCGGCGGCGGCGCGGCACGCGGGGCGCGGTGGCCGCGGCGGGGCCGCACAATGCGTTGGCTACCCGTTCCACTACGCCCGGCGACCGCTTGCGTCCCCGCAATCCTAGCCCCGTTATACGACGCGACAGCTCCGCGGACGCGCGCTCCACGACCCCCTGGGCCGATACCGACGACATCTTCACCTGGAAACGCCTTGAAATTTCAACATCCAACCTAATAAACAAACACTTTATAACAGGGATGGGCAAACTACGGCTCGCGAACCGTCTCCGGCACTCGAATGGTTGGAATTCGGCCCACGATCACAGATTACTTTATAGTTACTATGTAACAATCACTCCCTACAAAAATTCGTATACCTACAGCGGTAATAGCCTATTTCATCCCGCCGTGACGCATCGGCAACCGCTAGCGTGCTAAATTAGCCTAATAAGTTCGACTATGTATGGTCGACCAGAGGCGGCCTTACCGATTGCGTGGCTCCGGGCGGCAGGTCTTTGCGAGGCCCTTTGGCCTTCGTGAAAAGTATGTGATGCGAAAGTAGGTCTGGTTGTTTGGTTTAGGTATTTGTCATGTTTAAGGAAAAATGCTTAAATTATACAAATAAATCAAATTTGAATTTTAAAATATTTTACATTGAAAGATTCACAAAATTAACAAATACAGAGATGATAAATTTTAAAATTGATGTTTGCGGCTTTTCCTAAGACTAAAATCTTTAATTAAAGCACAATAATCTAACGAATAAGCTACGTCATTTTCGATTGAGGGCTGAAAGCCGATCTTGTGTCATTGAAAAAATAGTATTTTTTTTTATATTTTTAAAATTTGCTTGGGTTGTTGCGCGAGGCCCCTGTAGGAGCGAGGCCCCGGGCGATTGCCCTGTTCGCCACCCCCTAAGACCGTCACTGTGGTCGACTACACAGAACACAGAAAGAGAACCTCTTTCTGTGTTCTGTGGTCGACTATGTATATGTTTGCCTATTTCTGCTTTTTAATAATCGCGGTTGTAAAATCAGTAGTTTGAGCAAATATACACAGGTGTTTCAGATCAGTGTTATCCCGCACGCAACTATATCACCCTACATTTCGTTTACTGCGCCGCGACTTATGCTAACTTTACAGCCGTCATTTAATGACGTCCATCTCACCCGACGGCTTTTTGAGTCCGCGCAAACCCAGAGCCGTTATACCACGTGACAGCTTCGCGGACTAAGCTAAGCTTGAGGCGGTTGAGCATAACACAATTTTGGCAATTGGAACCGTCACAAGCAACCAAAAATTTACCAGAACACCGCGGGTCGCTCATTGTAATATGAGTCATATGCACTGGGGCCGTAAGGGAGAAAGTGCATCGACATCTGTTCTTGTCTACAAGTTATGCGCGTTACCTACGTAGGTATAAGTAGGTACTACGCACTCATAGGTGCTAGTTAACTCTCAATTTAACGCGACTTTTCGAGAATGCGTCGATTGGAGTATATAAACCCGATCGGCGTCGCGCAAAGTCAGTTTTACTTTCAAGACGATAACAGTTGAGTTTCAACAGTGATTGCGGATCGAATGCAAAGGCGATCAAAGTGCAAATAAAGTGTTCAAGTGCAATTGTTTAGAGACTTGTATAGTGAAATACAGTGTTTAGTAAGTGTTTTGTGATTAACGTTGCGTTAAGTGTGTGGTGAGTAAAGCACTGTCAAGGGTGAACTGGCATATAATTTCGAACCCCATCCCGACACGTAACAATATTATACTGAGCATGGTAAATGAAAGCCCGAGTACGAGTTATGAATGAGACACATATATCATTCATGATGGATGATACTCAAATTTAACTATTATATGATCAGGCCATCATGAATTGAAGGTATTATATCTACAAGGCTCAAACTCGATATAACACGGACTTCCCTCCTTTTTGTATTAATAGTTAGTGTCTTCACCTTCACACGCCGAATGGTGTCGCCAGGTCGCCCACCCGACCCTGCGCCCGCGCCGCCCGATCCGTGCTCACAACCCGCCACCTCGCTATTACCAAAATAAGAGAGTGAAGGAAAAATATTGAAGGCAGTGATAATGTGTTATTCCTACATAGATAAGAGAATCAGATGAAAGAAGAGACTGATTTTGAAATTAAAGCAGTGAACCTGATTACCATAATAAAGTAATTTTTAGTCACTACTCACTTTGATGAAAATATGTAAAATAATCATTATGATCCTTCAGTAGACTAATTATTTTATTTATTTATATATTCTGTACACACAAAAAATAATACAGGAGCAACTTAATTGAAGATTATAAATACATGTTAATACCAATAAATATTAGGTTTATATATACAAGTACTTAAATGAATAAATACATACACATAGGAATATGAAATTGATGACAATAGATAAATAAATACATACATACATATAATATGTAATATGTGTGTATTGCAATGAAATAGGTAATATTGTTTGTTTTTTATATAGAAGAGGACACTGCTTTATTGATGATTATATTGCCATAAACTCTATTGTAGGCCTATGTCCAGCAGTGGACTAAGATAGGCTGGTGATGATGATGATGATGAAACATTATTGTACAAGAAAGATAGCAAAGAGCTCCTACCAGGTCCTACTTCTCATAATAGTTTATTCCAAATACTATTTACATTGTTTTGTGACTGATTGTAGTTCTGTCTTTACAGAATGTATATTTTGTTAATTGCATTGCATGAGCAAAATGAAACCTTACGCTTTTTATTACGATAATGAATGTACATTTCATGTAACAAACTAGTTTATCTAATGCTAGAACTGCACAAGGCTATTTTTATATGTTATTTGTAAATTTAACAGTAAAACATATAACTCAAAAAGAAGAGATAGAAGAGATCCCTGTCAAATTAATGTTCTCAAATGTGTATGAAATATAGCAATTTATATAACTTGATTAAAATAATGATTGTAAGATACTTTAAAACAGTTTGAGAAGTAACTAGATCCCTAAATATTGAGTAAAGAGTTATTATAAGCCAGAGACTGTGAGCAATCATACAACACACTTTAAAATAAATTGTTAATCTTAATTCAGAACAATGATTCGTAATTACAACATGACCTCTATGATCCAAACCCCTTCTGAACACCTCTGTGATCAGGATGTCCCACACCCTCGACATTCCTGTCTAATTATTTTACGATTATAGATGAATCATTTGAAATTTCACAAAAATAATTAGTTTTCTTTCATAAAAAATCCCCTACAAATTCTCTGTATTATAATCTAAACACTCCACAAATCGTAATGGAGTGGTAAATATTCACAGTTGGGATTATAGAGGTCCTGCTGCACGTATGTGGGAGCACATACGTGCAGCAGGACCTCATATAAGTTGAGGCAACATGAAGTAGGTATAAACAGTTAATTAATTTGTGAAGATTGCACACTGCTGTTATTCACACCTTCAATTAATTAAGTACTAGGGTAAACCTACTGTAACGTCTTTTTAAATTCGTTAATAAATGTATGGAGAAACATTAATTTTTCATCGACATTATAAATAAATACGTGGGCGGCAGCAATCAATTTTGAATTTAGCTGAATGCTGACTAACTTCTCAAATAAAATATACAGTTAACGCTATAGTAATTGTTGACATAGAATTTTTTGGGTAAACAAGCAAAGACTAACATTAAATTAAAATAGTAAAAATCGATTTAGCATACAAACCTATTTAAAAATTTCTTCACATAAAATCACCATTGTTATTAAAGCACTGACTCCTTTCCATATTACTAAATATATTAAATTTTACCATTTAAAGCTAGGTATAAATTAACTATTACACACAAAAGTAAAAATCTAGCCAAGCTTGCTTGATTTTTGACCGAGTTTTTGACTGCCTTTTTCTTTTCTGACACTGACATGCGTCAGATCTTAAACCATAGATAAAAGATAATTTTACCGCAGACAAGTAATGACATAGATAACGACATGTACCATGACGACCATGCCACTTAGAGCATAATGGTTGCTTTCCAATTACAGCATTATTGCGCATTATGCGGCTTAATGCTTAACGTTGAGTGTTCCAACTACAGCAACGCTTCGCACAATTGAGCACTCTCAAAAGTGATGCTTTCGTGTGATGCGTGCAATGGTACCAACTTAGAGAAAGAAAATTAACAAGTGTTTTTTCTTTAAGTTGGCATTGATCGGAATGTTTTATTTATATGTTATCGTTAGTAATATTATTTATTGTTGAAAAATTATTAAAGCTTTCGTTTCATTAAATAGTTTTTTTTAAATAATCAAAGTTCATTCAAACTGTCAAAAAATAAATATAAGTATGGATGAAGGTACAATTGTGGCATTGTGCGGCACTGAGTCGCATTATGCTCTGTAATTGGAAAGCATACAATACCAACCAAGCCAAACCCATGACATGATCATAGACAAAAATGAAGTCGGTTGCTTTCCAATTACAGAGCATAATGCGACTCAGTGCCGCACAATGCCAAATTACGCTGATGCTTAATTGGAACGTAAATTAGTTTTCAAATGCACCAGCAGAGTGCGCTAAGTTCAGTGTTGAAAAAAAAAGTCAATGTTTGTACCTTCATCTTTATTTATATTTAATTTTTAACACAGTTTGAATTAACTTTGATTATTTAAAAAAAACTTTGATGAAACGAAAGTTTTAATAATTTTTCAACAATAAATAATATTACTAATGATAACATATAAATAAAACATTTCGATCAATGCCAACTTAAAGAAAAAACACTTGTTAATTTTCTGTCTCTAAGTTGGTACGATTGCACGCATCACACGAAAGCATCACTTTTGAGAGTGCTCCATTGTGCGAAGCGTTGCTGTAGTTGGAACACTCAACGTTAAGCATTATGCCGCATAATGCGCTATAATGCTGTAATTGGAAAGCTACCTGTGTGACTGTTGTTTTGTTCCCTAAGACCATGGATTCATTTCTGACCCACGCCGTAGGATTTCCAATACCTTACGCTCATTTTCTTTAATATTGATATTACCAATGCAAAAAAAAAGTAAGGCATTATAAACCTACGGTGGTCAGAAATAACAAAATGAAATCGTAAGCGATAGCCATAGCGGCCAGTAGGTCGGTAGGTCCCCAGGCCTCAGACATACCATTAATCTGAGAAACGGGACGAGTGAGAAACCAGAAATCAGAAATCAGAAATCAATATATCTTTATTCAAATTGGATGTATAGTACAACACTTTTGAATCGTCCAAACATTTTTTTTCCCTACCACTAGTTATTGGACTAATTTTTTAGCTGCGGAGAAAACGAGCGAAAAAAACTCCACAACATTAAAAGCATAATGTAACAACATTTACAAATCATTATGTTGTTACAACGTCAATACAATCATGATTTATTTAATATAGAAAACCTGTTGGAATGATTGGAACAGTTTAAACCCAAGCATTTTTGTCTGTAATATAATCAGACACTTTGTAATAAGCTTTTTTTTTTTTTGTACAACATGTACGAAGGTCTTTTATCACTTTCTATGATTAACTTTTTTTTTGCAATACACATTGGATAGGCATGGATATACTATTATCTCTTTAGTCTGTGATAAATATATCTGTGAAATGACGGAAATTTTCGTAATCTGTGTATTGTGACATTGACGTTCGTCGTACTGTCACACTCCGGCCGTTGTTGTGGTTTGTTTGATTCATTTTAGCGCACTTTAACCTAAATTATTTAAATAGTTGTTTTAAGTTTGGAACCGCAATGGAATTTGTTGATTCAATACCAGTAACATTTAGAGAAATAACACCGAATTACAATATACCGGAGAAATGGAAAGAAATATCATTGAACACCGGTCAGTTTTTGTCAACATAAAATGGTTCAAAAATTAATGTGATTTCTTCAATACACTTAATGGTATTTATAATTTATTTACAGGAGGTACGCATAGTACTTTACAAGATATAAAACTGCCTCAAAAGGCTGGTGGGTATTGGTATAAAGAGACATTAAAAGCTAATACTAGAAACCGTTTTATATATTGGTAAGTAATATCATATTATTATACTTAAAGAGAATAACATTTCTATTACTTATTCTGATATGGTCTCTGTTTTCAGGCAAACCACTCCTGATTCTATTGAGTTGTCTGAAGCATCACTAGATGTGAATTTAACAGGTAATAATATAAAATGTAGAGTGGCTCCAGGGACTCCACCATTGAACAATATAACAGTATATGAGCGCCCAATGTCGCGGGAAGTAGTCGTCTTAGCAGCTACTGTGTCTTCTGTCCACAGGCTGATATTTCCTCATCCTGTAGTTTTAGACAAAAGGGTAAACTCATTTTTCTTTTATTATTAAGATGTAATATTACTGATTATGACTGGCAGACAGTTAAGCTTCATTATAATTAAATTTTCAGGTTTCCCTTAATTACATACAAATACAATTTAATTGAGAATTTATGTAATTATTTTTGTTCCTCTGATGTTTGTTATTGATGTTGTTCATTATTCTAAAAATACTATAAATAAATATATTGTATAGGTAGTAATGGATATTAAATAAATTAATCACATATATTTTTTTAGTGTACTTATGGGCCTGTGTGTTCATCATCCCCATCAATATTTCAAGATACAAGTGCCATTAATAATCCAAATAATTATTTTATTTTAAATCAATATTCCAATGCAAGTAAGTGTCTTTGTTAATATAACAAATATGTAATTATTTCATTTTTGATTTGTTTGTTTGCTAAACCATTAAAATATTACAGCCACAGGAATTGCACACACTTGTGCATCACATCTGCGGGATAATGGTGAAGCCTTGTTTGCATTGGCATTTGGTCTTAGTGGTGAGGGAGGTCTTCTTCTAGTCCGATTGCCAGTATCAGGTTCGGCAGTCACTGTACCTCTTAAAAGAGAATCTGCTGTGCCAAGATTCTTATCAGGTCTAACTGGTGCCTTGAGGTGAATAAAGGTTCTTAATATAAGTAAAAAGCTCTGTGGCAGACTTATGTTGGCACTTCACTTGGCTATTCCTTGATTACCTCCGTGGCTGAGTGGATTGTATGCCGGGTTTCATGGTGTCGCCGACTCGGGAGGTCTGAAACCCGGTGAGTGCAGCTGTTTGTGTGATGAATACAAGCATTTGTGTACTCCAGTCATGGATGTTTAATATGTATTTCTATATAAATATACTTATATACATAGAGTATATGTATTCTATCCGTTATATTAGTATCCCATAACACAAGCCTTACAGTGCTTACTTTGGGGCTAGGCTAATTGGTGCGAGTGTTTGAAATATTTATTTATTTTATATAATTATTCGTGTTTGCTATTTGTGAACTTGACATCAGTCTGTCCTTTTCATAGCTTATAAAGCATGATAAGGACGAACTGTTGTCAGGTCTACAAATAGTAAATTTTGGCATTGCTTATAAAGCATGATAAGGACAGACTGTTGTCAAGTCTACAAATAGCAAATACGAATAGCCAAGTGAAGTGCAGGCCTCAAATATACATTTAGTGTTAAGTTATAAGTTATTTTATTATTTGCAATTTCCTACATTACATCAAACAAGTTTTTGACTGAGTATATTGAAAGACAATTTGGCAATTTGTAGAGGCAAAAATAATGAAGGGCTTGAAACATATGGAGTAGTGCTGACCCCAAGCTTAGCAGTGGCGATATGTGGGGACACATGTTTGCGTGCCTGGGTGTTGGACGACGGAGGAGCGCCGGCCGCGGTCTCTGCACCTCTCTCACAAACTGTTGCTAGGCCAAAACCACCTCGTGAGTATATTTCATACATCCCAGCAATGGGTACATTAATGCCTATTAAACTGAAACCTTTTTTAACTGTGCAATATAAGTGCTACTTTCCTCATACATCACCTTGTACTAATGGAACCTCTTGGTCGTTTCCATATCTTAGAAGTTCAGTTATGCCTAAGACTTTATTGTTAAAATTAAACCACCTATTAATTAACACTGTAACAGTAATGTATTTTTGGCTGGTGAGCAAAAATTTATATGCTAGTTATTAATCTAAAGAAAATATAACTAGAAAAAATTCCACGCGGACCAGGCAGCAGACGGGACTCGAACCCGCACCCTTCGCAATCCGGGCGAATGCACTGACCAATTATGCTACCGCGGCCCTCACGGACCATAATGCGACGAGATGGCGCTGCCTTGCAGCTTAAGAATGGCTAGAAGAATTTCGACGCGGTCCGTGAGGGCCGCGGTAGCATAATTGGTCAGTGCATTCGCCCGGATTGCGAAGGGTGCGGTTCGAGTCCCGTCTGCTGCCTGGTCCGCGTGGAATTTTTTCTAGTTATATTTTCTTTAGATTTAAACATCAAGCAGTTACATGCTTTAAAAATAATAAAATTCATATGCTAGTTATTACTTTGCTACACTGTTATTAAAAGTTATAATTTATATTTATAATAATCAATATAATATATTTATTTTGCATCAATTTCATAACATTAAGTGGGTTTTTACTTATCAATTTGAGTGTAAAGATAGTAAAATTTCAAAAATTTTTATTTGATGCTTGGTTAAACTTCACCTTATTTAATGCTCTCATTACCTCTGTTTCTATAAATACTTTGCTTACTTGTTACAGCACATGGACATATGCTTCAGAAGACCTTTTTGCCTGATGGAGGCATAATATTAGTTGCATACCTTTCTTTCCCAAATGAATGTGAATTTGTAGTGATGAAAATGCATGATTCTGGAGCAGGCATAAAATTTTCACACATTTGTCGAATATTTGGTCCACAGGTGAATACTATTTCGTCTATACTTGCTTTCTATCAAACCTGTTTTAGCTATTATTATGTAAACTGTTTTTTTTTTCAGTTGGATTTATTTGATTATTCTATCGGGTATGGAGATGGCAGTAATGTCATATGGGCATTATGGACACAACCTGATGGTGAAACAGTAATCACAAGTGAGTTTTAATTTGTAGAATAAATTCTTTTTCTTAAAATTAATATTGTTTAAAAAATATATTAAGGATATCAGTGCAAAGTAAAAATGAATGAATGAATGAACTGATATCAAAAATGCGAAAGTGGGATTGTTGGTGACGCTTTCACGCCTAAACCACTGAATCGATTATGATGAATTTTTGTAAAGAGATTGATAGGACCCTAAAGACCATTATTGGCTCTTTTTGTTATGAAAATAAAACATAAAAACAGTTAGATCATATAAGAAAATCCAAATAATTGGATTTTTGTCATGAAAATAAAACATAAAAACAGTTAAATCATATAATTTTTCATGCGGATAAAGTAGCAAGCATTCGTTAGCAACATAAATTAAATCTACGACATTTTGCAGCTAATATTTAAGTTGACATTAAAATGGGGTATTGGGAAATATGTTATTTTACAGAAAGAAAATCGCGGGGACCAGCTCTTAGACATATTATCCTTAGTAATTGCCGATGGCGTTGCTCTAAAGTACTCGCCTAAACACTACTGTAGCAACATCAAAGGCAATATGCAGTGTGTGTGTGTGTGTGTGTGTGTGTGTGTGTGTGTGTGTGTGTGTGTGTGTGTGTGTGTGTGTGTGTGTGTGTGTGTGTGTGTGTGTGTGTGTGTGTGTGTGTGTGTGTGTGTGTGTGTGTGGTTGCTTGTAAAAATAAAGTAACTAATAAAGTCAATATCGTAGGTAGCGCGCTAGAAGCGGAATATCTTGTTGCCGCGCCAATGGATTTGTTTATTTGCTCGCATTCAGTCTCTGCTAGTCGCCGCGTTAATGGACTGAATGTACACAAGCTATAAATAAAGTCGATATCATAGGTAGCGCGCTAGGCGCTGAGGTATCTTGGCGTGCAGTAGCGGGCCGCGAGCCGGCGCCGCCACTGCCACTGCTGCCGTCGCACCACCACTACCGCGACCGGCTGCTGGCGCCCGGCCTGTTCCCGCCTCAAGTCGTGAGGAAAGCTCTCGTGGTACGTACACTGGAAACTATAATAAAATAATAAATAAATATTTCCAACACACACCAATTAGCCTAGCCCCAATGTAAGCACTGTAGTAAGGCTTGTGTTATGGGATACTAGGGTAACGCATAGAATACATTATACTGTACATATATAGGTATATTTATATAGAAATACATGTTATACATCCATGACTGGAGTACAAATGCTCGTCATTATCACACAATCATCTGCCCTCACCGGGATTCGAACCCGGGACCTCTCGAGTCGGCGACACCATGAAACCCGGCGTACAAACCACTCTGCCACAGAGGTCGTCAACTATTTTTGCGCAATAGGTTATTGGAAAACTTTCATAACTTATTTGTTACTGAACATTAGTAACTCCATAAAAAGATATCATATAATTTCAGAAAAAAAAACAAAAAAAAACTTTTTTTAAATATGCCGCGGAGACGTATCACTAGTAAATATGGCGTCTTACAGGCAGGTGACGTCACACGGCTCTCATTAAAACAAACGGTTCAAAGTAATCGACAGTATGTTGACAAGCATCTGACGTCATTTAAGACTCCGCCAATCCTAGGTGTTTTAGGTCACGTGACAACAAATCAACTAAATAATCTTTTCTATTTCCTGATTTTTAGTAATATTATCAAATATTTTTTTATCAGAATAGTGATTTGGCTCCCAATATTCATGTTAAATACATATGCCAATAAATTGTACTTTATTTTTCATACTGTTAAATAGCTTACTGCCTAATAGGAGTGTGTTGTTTTAGGGTTGACATGAGTGTCTGTATATATATGCGTTTTTTTCCACCTTTACTTTAGAATCCTTTCATCATCATGATTCATGATGGACACAGGTTATGAATAGATTTGAAAAAAAAAATAGTGTAGTTGCCAGAGGAAAACCTATTTTTCCCTAAATGTATCTACTTTACAGTATGTATTTTTTGTATCTTTCAATTTACAAGTATAAATAACTATGAATTTTAAAATAAAATATCTTCCAGAATTCATCATAAAAATTTTACATCCAAGAAATGTATATTTATAACAATACGAAACCACAACAACCTTAAAAACTAATTATATTTAATTTCTTTTATTCTCAAAAATTTTAAATGATATTTAAGACCGTAAATGTCATTTAATTTAAATTATTATCGCTGTTAACCTATTATTATCTTTTCATAATTTAACTATTAGCGCTTGGTCTAAGGCTTAGTAGGCTAATGCTGAAAATCAGTGTCGTGGCACATGTTGCCACAACATATACTGAGCAGTGACCTGTTTGGTACACAATCTTTATATAATACAATAACTTATTTTTGTAATTTGTGCCAAATAAACGTTTTTATTTTTATTATAATCAAAGTTGGGCAAAATTTATTCGAATAACAAATGAATAAATTGCTTTTTCGTTTTTCACGAATAATAAATAATTTATTTTACTCAAAGGAAAATTATTTGAATGACAAATAAATTATTTTATTCGTTAGTCGGTTATTGAATAAAAATAAAACAAGGAATAATGGCATTTAAATCAAATATTTATTTGCTTTCAATTATCATGTATTTACAGTTATGATTATTTCTTAATATTCGTTTTTATCACTACTCATTCTTGTTGTCAGACAACATGACAGAGACACATGTTGTCAGACAATCATAGTTGCGTAAAAAAAAACACGTTCTACTGATGCAGATGAAGGCAATGGTGTATTGTATTTTTGAAATATAGTTTTTATTTCAGGATTGCGATCTAAAACATTGAAAGTACGATCTTCTTCAGCAAAATATTGAGATACTATTACATCAGCCCTGGTTTTCGATGACTGCTTTTGTATGCCAGCTTCGCTTCCTGAGTTTGATTTGAAATCTAAATAAGAGTTTTCTGGATCTGCTCTATTTTCAGAATACGAAGGATTCTTGGATACTTCTTTTGCTATTTCATGTTTAAATAATGTTTTATTTCTTCTTTGTTCATGTGGTGTAATGCAACTAAACCATTTGTTCTTGAATCTCGGGTAGGACAACGTCGCAATTATATCATGTTAACCTTTGGCGTAAACAGTTTAAAAAACTCGTCGAATCTTATTTCAATGCTTTGCCTGTATGCTGCTGCTAAATAATGGCAGTACGTTAATGAAATGTTCTCTAATTTTTGCAGTTTCTTGCGTAAAGCCATTAAACATGGAATCAGAAGTCCATAATACGTTATTGTTTCTCCTTGCAGTATATTTAAAGCCTCGGCAATAGGACATGAACATGTGATATATTGTAACAATTTTTGCTACCACCGACTATTTCAGGGCTTTTACATGAGACTCGAAATTAATTAATCTATAATCAGGGCGCCGTTTTACTGTTATTTGAGGGAGATAAAATAAAAATCAATAACCGCAGTGAACAAGATAAATGTATTGTTAATATTCAGTTCAATTTTCAACATATATTAACACACTTAACATTATAAATTAAGATCTTTGAAGATGGCTTTTATAAATTAAGGTATAGAATATCAGTGACGAACATACAATCAGAACATGTGTACATACAGTTATATTAATGTTAATATTCTAAGGAAACATTTTGTTCTATCAAGTATCGTACATACAAATTTATTTATATAAAGATTCTAATGAAACAATTCGTTTGGCAAATATGAAGCTACTTTCGTTAATGAATCTACAGTTTACAACAATAAATCTTTTATTTATGTTCTAACAATTTAAAACTTCGTACTTCGGAGAATGCACTGCTTAAAGATTAAATAGGTTGAGAGTTTACTTAGCTTTCAAGATATTGGTACCATCAAGCGATTCCGGCATCCACGTGGATGGTAATAGAATCTGCTGTCATCACCAGTGTTCTTTGTTTGATCAAGATTGCATTCACAGGCTCATTTATATATATATATCCAAAGAAATCCCCAGCAGGATTAAGTAATTGTGATTATCGTATACTGTTTTTAATTAGCCACTTCAAAGGACCTAGAAACAATTACACATCTTTCTATAGTTCAATAAAAAACCTAACTTGACCTACAGTATAAACAGTTAGATATGTTGGACTTACCCGTTAATCCGGGGAAAATATTTTAATTAATTATGCACTGACTATACTTTCCAGTCACTGTGCAAATTACTAGATGTTCAAGTGTTCGGTTCGCAGACAAAAGAGAGTGAATTCGTCTGCGCAAAGCTATTTATAGTTGCCTAGGATCACGTGACGGCGTCCCAGCAAATTTCTCTCAAATCACCATATTTGGTGCGAGGAATCGACAGGACCGGTTACTACGGCTACGCCCATCTCCCTCCAAGAAACTGCTTCCTGAACAATAGCTAATCACGTCATCAATACGTGTAATTTTATTTAACACTATTAAATACAACTCCATCTATCTTATCTTTCGAATGCAACTATCAATTTTTTTTTTTTATAATATATTCTGTGCTTCTTTAAAACCAATTACATTGTTAGATGATGGATACGTATGGTGATAGATGGCGCTTTGATTAGTAATATTTCTACAACTTAATATTATAAAATTATATTGCTACAATATTTGTTTATATATTCATATTAACGGTCACTGATATAATTTCTGAGGCAAAAAAGCTCTAAGCAGTTGAATGTTCTTGTCTTTGATGGAGTAAATTTGCTTCATAGCGTCATATAAGCTATTCCATCTTGTATCGCCAGGTTTGCTAAGTTTGAACCTTGAATGATTTCTGCTGTCTTGGGACGTCCAGCAGCATTCCACAATATGTTACATTTTTCAATAGCATTATGGCAAATTTCAGATAATGATGATATTATCTACTTTAAGTATTCGATTAGAATGTGTAGTAGCAGACAAATTCAGAGTATGAGCAGCGCATCTGAAATGACACGCTAATTCAAAATCACGTGGATCAGTAATTTCTCGTAAATCATCTTCTTCGTCATCCAAATCACCTTCTTCTAAATCAATCGAATCTGAGTTTTAAATTGATACACCAAATTCTTTGAATGCTTTGATGAAGTTGGAACCATTATCAAGTAACTGTTGCGACTATCTTCGTGGAATTCAGATTAAATTCAGTGTGAATTTCATCAAGTATCATGGCAATTCGTTCATAATTATGAATTCTACGAAACCTCCTGCAAGCTAGTATTTTGCATTGTCGGCTGAGATCCGCATCTATCCAATGAGAGTATTACTCCATGAAAACTTCGTTTACGACTCGACCATATATCAACAACAGTGCATATATATTGTGCAGTTTCTAACGTCGATTAGATCGCGCACATTTGTAGCGCATGTTCAGCATCAATTCCTCTGCTCAATGTTCTTCGGCTGATGACATCTCATCCGTGGTTTTGATACCCCAAATTATTTAACATCAAAAAATATGGATCTTCCACTGCATTCAGTGGAATCATTGAATTAATGAAGAATAGTACCAAATCATGTTCAAAGTTTGTTTGGGAAATTGTGTTTGACGAAGTTAAAAAGAAACCGCTTCCAGTGTCGGCACTACCACTTCTCTTTTGTTTCATCTGCTTGGCATACTCTTAATATTCAGCAACGGCTTCATCCCCATGTTTTCTTTTTAAAAAGCTCAAAAAATTTGACGAAGTATTTGGACAACCTTTAATTTTTACAACTTTAGGTTCACACTTCACACAGGTCAACGGAATGGTTTTTCCATTCGAAGATGAAGAATCATACTTAAAAAACTTGCCGCCTAACAAAGTTTATGTCGTTTTTACATTGTTTTGATTCACCGAAACATTGGCAACATATTCATTGGAACTTTCCACATTGATTGAACTAATTTCATTTGACTGAGAATTATCCTGAGACTCCGAACTCTCTATCTCCATAATTTCGACGAATAAATCACACACCTTTAAAATCCAAAAATACCACAATATAAATATAATACTTGTGATCTGATTAGCCGCACCGCTCTGGTAAACAGATTCCGAATGACTGGGGAGAGTACCCAGAATATTAGTAATTTACCAAAACAAAATAATTATTTTGTGTCCACAACTGATAAGAAATCATAGACTAGGTGGTCCTTTGCTACGGATATTAGATACTTTTCACTCCTTATAAAGCGTGATAAGGACAGAATGTTGTCAAGTTTACAAATAACAAATACGAATAGCCAACTGAAGTGCAGGCATTACTGTGTAAACAAGCGCAAACATATTGTTTTCAAACACTAGCTTTCGTTACATGATCTTATGACACACACTTCCTACAGATATATCGTCGTACATGGGGCAGCAACGACACAGCTATAGAGAGCGATTTGACTGAATCGGCTATGAACGCGGTGCAGTCTCGTCTTAGGCATCTTACAGCGCGAGCCTCGTCTCCTGACCATTCTCACTTGATGCATAAGTAAGTATAAACGTAAGGAAAGAAGATAAAGAATACCAACGCTTTCTCTTCAGTGGTCTGCCCTTGCATTGCTTCGGTGTAGCCTATAGGTTTAGATTTAATGTATACGCCTATGACACTCAAAAATAACATGGCTTTCTATTGGTATAAGCATTTTCAAAATCGTTTCATTACAGCCAGAGACTTAACAAACTTTACCTCTTTATAATATTAGTAGAGTCTGTCTAATTAATCGTGCCCCTCCTATTTTTTAAAGTTTTTAAGTATGGCATCATTACAAGTGTCACTTTGACGTTACGAAATGGCAAGTTGTTGCTGCAATTTTTTGGTTTGGATATCTCGTTAAATTGGGTATTTTATTTGTTTTACTATTATCATTAGGATGGCTGTTGGTTTCTTTCAGAGAGTGTAGAAATAAAAGAAAAAATGTAACACGTAATAATAAATTATAAGTAATATGATATAATTTCATTATATTCAATTGTAATTTTATCAAATGCTAAATTAATATAATTATAATTTGAATATCCCTTAGGACAGGTCTCCTGTGTGCGAGCTACTATTAGATTAAAGAATTGAATGTAACCAAACGAAACAATAAATACAACGATAATAAATACCCTAGATACAACAACACGAACAAAATCGTGGTCGAAACGTGTCCAAAAGGTACTTTGGACGATCTAAGGAGGTCCGTAAGATGATTAAAAACAATATATGCCATAATTTATACATTCAAAGTCACCTTTAATGCAATCTATTTAAGGCCTTAATAAAAACGCATGCGTTAAAGACTTATGACAGTTCGAAATGCAAGCTCGTAAAATATTACGACTATTGCTATATAATATATATTTCCATCACTCACAACAATTAGACTAGCCCCCAAGATAGCACTATAAGGCTTGTGTTATGGGATACTAGAGTAACGGATTGAAGACATATACTGTACATATATAAGTATATTTTCATAGAAATACATATTAAACATCCATGACTGAAGTACAAATGCTCGTATTCATCACACAAACATCTGCCCCCACCGGGATTTGAACCCGGGACCTCTCGAGTCGGCGACACCATGAAACCCGGCGTACTAACCACTTCACGGAGGTCCATGCGGATAAATATAGACCTTATATCTTTGACTCTACTCGCAATTCTGAATGCGCTGTTAGCAATATAGCAGGTACGGACCGCGAGGAAAAGAGACGACTATACTGCACCGACCATGCATTTGGATATCACAAATATTTTGTATTTAATCAGTTTATAGTAAGTATTAGAACAAAATTTTATTCAAATGCGTTAAATTAACAAACTTTGATTTGATACCTGTCGAAAAAACGACACTTTACGTTCCATTAGTATATTTTTCGTATTTGTTCATGAAGCTCTGCGGCATCTTTACTTTCAACGGTCCGTGCGTGACTGTGAACCAAGAAGTGCTTGAGTGGAGTTCAAGCACTTTTTGTTTGGGACACATTTTGAGCGCTCGTGGTGTATCTAGAGTATTTAATAAATATTATGATATTACTACTGATTGTGTAGTTACTAATGCCCACCCAATTTGTTTATGTAAAGATTAATTTGACGACCTCCGTGGCCGAGTGGTTTGTACGCTGGGTTTCAAGGTGTCCGTGAATGAATGATGAATAAAACATTTATACTCCAGTCATGGATGTTTAATAATATGTTTTCTATATAAATATACTTATATATGTACAGTATATGTCTTCAATCCGTTACCCTAGTATCCCATAACACAAGCCTTACAGTGCTTATTTTGGGGCTAGGATAATAGAGGTGATGACGGGGTACAGTAAACGAAATTCTATTTAGTCCGTCAGTTAGATGATCAAAAAATAATGGACACGTATTTTTCTTTGGGAATCAACCAAAAAATGACAAAGTTATAGCGCGTCAAAGTTTGGGAGTAGGGGCTCGTGACGTCACCTTTTAGTGAATTTTCACTTAAAAGTGTATTCAAACGTTACGTCATGTGACTTTTCAAATCAATATATCTCTACAATGTTTATATTATGTGAAAAAAGAAAAAATACGTGTCCACTATTTTTTGATAATATAATCTACCTGATAAACGAAGAAAAAAGAAATAGTCATCATCCCTATTGGTGTAAGTGTTATTTAAAAAAAAATGTATAGTACAGAAGTTTTATTTATGTATGGTGGTAAATGGTTCTCTCGATTCTGTATCTGAATTAATAGAGCTTGTATATGAGATCTTTATAGGTGCATAGAAATAGAATGCACAGTAAAATAGGTAGCAATATTCCAACACCGTAAAATACTTTTTTTACAAAAATAAATACCAACTTCATTCGACAAGCAAAACCACCAAAAATGAAGAAATTATGCTTATCGATCCTTTAGATACTTCATGTAAATTACGATTTGAGTAAAATGAAGTTGATGCCAAAATAGTAAACAACAACTCAGATCTAGGCACTGACTTTATATGTTGTAAATTTACTTAAATAGTACTTATATTATTTATTTAAATCAAATCATCAAAATCCGTCTACAAATCTCAGAATTATGAGATAACAAATATAAGAATATATAGCCGTATTTTTTATTTTGTTTCTAAACTCAACCGCTTTTTTTCATAACATAACCAGAAGAAAACTTCATTCAATAAATCTGAGGCTAATTACAGAGTTTCACAACAGTATTGCGGACCTCCTCTTTTTTAAGGTCGGTTATAATGTTCAATTAATCTGTCAATTTAAAGTATCAGGTTTATTTTGTCCGTAACATATTGATGTCTGCAGCTACAAAATTATTTTTGGAGGGTCACGATTCATTAGGCAGGTTATGGCTTTGGCTGTACTATGCTAATAAAAAAACAGGTGATTATTTGTAAAATTTGAGTTTACAAATAATCAATAATAATGAGAAAACCTTTTAAATATTTTAGATGCTGGTCAGAATTGTATAGTTGGTGTATGCAGTATATGGAGGGCTTACAGAAACCTTTAGGTCTCATGGTGTCAACACATGTGCGTATAATGTTGTTAAGATTGACTTCAGTATTGTTTGATGTTGAGATTATAAGATAACAAATTGTACTTTTAGTATAACGACTTGGAGAATGGATGGTGGTGTGCAGTGGTGAGACGAGCTGGCGTTTCGTTTGTGCGAGAATTGGAACCGTTAGAGCGAATGATGCTTTCACCTGATTCAACTTTATTGGACTCCAGTTTGGGTACGATTTTTTTTCACTCAACTGTAAGATAAAATTTAAAAATTTTGTTTGTTTCTATCCATTGCTTGACATCCATGCTATATAATATTATAACTTCAAAACTGATTTTGTTTCCCTGTTTGTTACCTTTTCATGCTTTAACCGCTGAACCGATTTAGATGAAATTTGATATGACATACGAATTAACATTCGCGCAACAACCCTCCACCGCAGTTCGCGGCTCGTGCTTTGTGCCATTGCCATTGAATTAATTTAAATGGAATTTGATATAGAGATAGTTTGAGTCCAGGGAAAGGGTAAATTATAATTTTTATTCCAGAAATCACATATTAGGGGGGTAAAAAGAGGTTTATTTATTTATTTATTTGGTATGCCAAATAAAAGTGTTGCCAGGTGTTGGAGTTTGTATGGGGAACGATAATTCCATGCTTATGAATTCGCAGACACCCACTAGTATTTTATAAATGGTAAAATAGTCGGTTGCTAGCTAATTACCAGCGCTATATAGGTGCCGGTAGCGAGCTATCTGCGGAAGCAGTACGCGTAGTAGCGGCGGGGGCTCGTTGGGAGCGTGCGGCGACTTTAGAGGGCGCGCGCGAGCTGGAGCGCCGCCTTTTCGCCGCCGCCGCGCCGCAACACCGCCTGCTGCCCCGTCTGCTGCACCTGCTGCAAGCGCCGCCGCCGCCGCCCAATGCTCACCGCGCTACGCCCGCGCCCGTACGTACATAGCTGCTAGAGGGCGCGCGCCAGCTGGAGCACAGCCTATTCATCGTCGCCCAACGCTCACCGCGCTACGCCCGCGTCCATATGTACATAGTGCCCGCTAGAGGGCGCGCGCGAGCTGGAGCGCCGCCTGTTCGTCGTCGCCCAACGCTCACCGTGCTACGCCCCCGCCCGTACGTACATAGTGCCCGCTAGAAGGCGCGCGCCAGCTGGAGCGCCGCCTGTTCGCCGCCGCCACGTCGCAGCACCGCCTACTGCACCTGCTGCAAGCGCCGCCGCTACCGCCCAACGCTTACCGCGCCACGCCCGCGCCCGTACATAGTCCCTGCTAACAGGGCGCGCGCCAGTCGTTAAATTAAGTGCCGTTAAATCAAATATCTTTTATGAATTCGGCTATCCATTCATCGAGTAAGCTAATTTTAAACGGAAATCCGAACCAATCACATGATCGTCGTGTTGATGGCAATTTTTTCGATCGCAGTTCGTATTCCATTGGTTGTAACGCATCGATGAAACATCTACGGTCATACCACAAAAAAGTTAGACATTGTTTCTTAGTGGTTAGCCCGAATACGAGAGTCAATGGGATTCGGCTAAACGACTAAGTGTAAATAAACGGAGTCGAGTACGCCCGGGTATTCGGGTAGATTTCCTTCAGTTTTCCCGTCACCGTCTTCCAGCCCGAATTCCAATGTTAACATTGCTTCAGTGCCCGAATTCGAGTAATGTCTTTCGTGCATCTGAATACGGGCTAACGACCAAAAGTAATTGTGGCATAAGGAAAGGATAAGGCCTGTCTAGGGGAATATTTTTTTTTTTTCATTTATTTGATAATACAAAATACAGTAATTAATAAAAAGTATCACAAAAACCCACATTGGGTTTGTCCGGATACTGAGTCACTTAAGCCGTCAATACATAGTTTTGATATTCTTAAATTATACTTTTCCAGTTCTCGGCATAATAATACATAACAGCGCAAATATACGATACACAACAATTTCCATAGCTCATTAAATTTTACAAGTAGGAAGGTAATTGTATAAATGTTATAACGTTTACCCGCCAATATCTAACAAAAACACGATAAGCCGTACACAGGTACGATGCTAGTTGTCGGTGCGCATAATACAGGAGGATGCCCTTTCTTTAGTAGAACAGTAATGAAGTGTCGTAAAAATATTTATTATATTTATATTTACAATTTTTACTAGTTATGTCTTGCAAAATTCCTGTCGGTATTTCGTTCATTAAAAATGGTACTAAAAATGCATTGGTCCGTTTACCATAATATTTTTTTGTTATAGGAATATTAAATTTTAAATGAGTAATTTTTCTAGTTGTTGTTTTATGATTTATTTTTATTTGTATATCTTTATTGTCAAATTGTTCAATCAATATCCAAAATTCAAAAAATTCAAAATTCAATATCATTTATTCAGTCTAGGCTGTTACAAGCACTTGTGAATGTCGAAAAGCTACGCCATCGGTTCGCAAATCTACGGCGGGAGACCTTGTACTGAGAAGAACCGGCAAGAAACTCAGCAAGGGCTGTTTTTTTCTCCCTGTATTATATACAGAGTCGTCAATTTGAAAAATGAGTTCAATATGAGATAACCAATGAAGTCACTTTCCATTACAAATGTAAATGATAAAACAATTATGACTATAAAATAAAAAATATAAAAAACAGATTTAAAAATGAAAAAAAGTTTAGGAATGCCGTGTCCCACTGTTTAGGCATAAAAACATCATCAATTTTACTTTAGAATATATAGGTAAAATTTTACAATATTTAAATATTCCGCTAATATCTTCACCGTTAGTGTTTTTCTGATGTTTTTAGGTATCATTAGTTTTAAAAATCTGATTTGTAATTTATATTTTTTTTCTAAATAAGTTTTAAACGTTCTGCCATAGCTAGTAATGCCATACAAAATGATTGACTCCACTAGCGCATTATATAAATTAATTAATAACTTGAAAGGTATTTTATATTTTATTATTCCAAATTTAGCTAGAATAGCTCTTAGTTTGTCACACACGGCATCAATGTGTTGACTCCAATTAAAACGATCATCGACGACTAACCCTAAGTATTTATAGTTAGAGACTTCTTCTATCAATTCACATTTGCAATCACATCTCAATGATACCAGGGTGTGTAGACACTTGTGATCATGCGCAGTAATTTTAAGAGATCGGTTACTGTTAAGCAAATGACTTGAACGAACATGAATAATTTTTGTTTTATTTATGTTAATTACCAACCCCATATCGTGAGACCATTTGCAAAGGTTGTCAAAATCTAATTGTAATTGACTTTCGGCTTCTGATACATCTTTATTTGCTGCTATCAGACATGTATCGTCTGCGTATTGATAAATAGAGCAATTTTTAACAACTTTCTCCATATCATTGACATATGCTAAATAATATGTCGGCCCTAGTACGGAACCCTGCGCCGTGCCCGTTGTAACCGATATTTCATCGCTATATTCATTCACAACCTTAACACGATATATCCTGTTTTTAAGGTACTCTTCACACCATCGCAGAATCGGTCCGCGTATACCCGTGTTTTTTAATTTATTTAATAACGTGTCGTGTCTAAGTGTATCAAATGCTCTACTAAAGCCTATAAATAGTAAAATAAAATGTTTTTTCTCATTAAGATGTTCATTTATTTCATTTCTAATTTTAGATAACAAAATTGACTTTGAATTATGTGGTTGAAAACCAAACTGAGACTTTGAAATTATATTGTATTTTTTATAATGATCCTGAATTTGCTTACAGACGTATTTTTCTACTATCTTGTCGATAACTGGCAATATTGTAATGGGCCTATAATTTTCATAATTGCCATACGATCCTTTTTTATAATTTATAAACAGGCCTTACTTACAAGAACTAAAAACAGGTTTTTAGTTCTTGTGGATATTTTCCTGTTTTTATACTGGTATTAATTAATTTTACTATAACTTTCGCTATTTTCTCACCTATAAACTTTACATCTATGCACCGTATTCCATCAACACCCGCTGATTTGTTTTTATTTAAATGATTTATGATATTTAAAACGATTCGATTAGTGGGTTTTTTAAAGAACATTCACTTATTTTCTGGATGTGTATATTCTGACTCTTGTAAAATATTATTATTACAGTTAGATAATATATTTTTCACGTTTTCGTCAAACTCTTTACCAAAATTATTTGCTATAGTTTTTATTGTTGTGTTGTTTTTTTTAAAAGCTTTTAATATTGCATCGTCAACAGACTTACAAACTCGACCCGTTATAGAATTTAAAATTTCCCACATTTTCCTTGGATTACTTTTGTTAATAATAATTTGGTCGTTGTAGTATTTGTTCCTATTTTTTTTAATTAATTTTTGTGTAATATTTCTTTAAATAAAACTAGTTTTTACGGGACGAGACTTATTTATTTATTGACGTTTCGTAGCCTTTACAGGCTTCGTCTCCAGAAAGGCTACGAAACGTCAATAAATAAATAAAGTTTCGTGCATTAACCCGTAAAAACTAGTTTTATTTAATGAGTGATGTGCGTGAAAACCTAAGAAACAAATAATATTTCTTTGTTTGATAAATTCTAGTCTTAGTAATTTATTGTTCCTATCCTGTTTCCATTGTTTAAATAGTAAATCTCTTTTATTGCACATATTATTGATTTTAGAATTGATCCACGACTCCCTGTCCCTTTTACTAATTTTACTTTTTGTTTTCGTATATTTAGACTGGTTATAGCCGGCATTAAATTTGTTTTTAATAAGATCATAAATCTGTAGCGGACATTGCAGATCGTCAACTTCACAAAAGTCAATATTTTCTAAACTTGATTTTAATTTGCCAAAGTCTATATATTCTTTAAAAATAGCATCGTCCTGTATAGTGCCCTCCGCTTCGCGTCCAACGCACGACAATACAACCATACAGTGGTCTGCCATTACTGTTCCGAGCACCGCGGAGTGCAAGTCTAATAAGCGCGAACGTGCAAATATATGGTCTATGCAGCTACGTGTTACAGTATCATTTCGTTTTTCTATTCTCGTGTAATCAGTTATTGCGCTCATTAGACCACACTCAGCCATGCAGTTAATGTAATATTCACGGATGCTGTCCTTACATTTCAGGTCTATGTTTACGTCGCCTAATTAGTATAAATCAGTTTGTTGAAATATGTCTTTATAGAGTAAATCTTTAATTTCTTTAATAAATAAGTGCTTACTTTCTTTAGGAGGTCGATACAGTGCGCAAATATGTGCCGTGTAGTGATTTAACGTTCTAATATTTCCAATAATTGATTCGCAGTGTTTTAGTGTACAGTTATTAGTGATTGAAAATTATGACAGTTTTTTATATACATAATTATACCCCCACCTCTTCGTTGTTCGCGAAGAGAATTATGCATAACGTACCCTTTTATCTGAAATAAATGTTCAAGATTACTGCTGCTAGATATACCTACTTCCGTTAGAATCATGACGTCGATGTTTATCGACGAGGAGCTTAAAAATTGCAATACTAAACTAAACGCTTTAATAATTGATCGAACGTTAACATGCGCTATATTTAAAATAGGTTTAATGTTTTGAGGAAGGTAGGTACTAAAGTCGTTTATATCCGAACAATCGTGAACTTCACAAATATCCGAAGGTGAAACTAGTGCTGTAGTTATCATAGCATCTACTATCGAAGACCTTTTTCCTGGGTCACTATCTTGTCAATATCTTGGGCATTCCTTATGATTATCGGCTTATCGTCGTCATTCTGGCGCGTTAGTATTTTACCATCTTGAAACCAGGTATATTTGTAAGTATCCTTCAATGCCTGTTTAGCTTGCCACAACAAAGTTTTGTTCGTTTTAGATAATGCGTGTCTAATCATTATCTTTGATTTTGCAACGTCGGGATTAGCATCGGGTATGATGTCCTCTGTTAAAATAGGTGTTTTCCGTGAAGCCTTTATCCACTGATCAACCTGTTTCTCCTGGCGTAAGGCAAAATGAAGCAAACTACCTTTCAGTCTTTTTACGACACTGACTTGCTTTTCATCGACATCGAGTTGTGCAGTTATTTTTGTTGAGAGAATATCCAGGTTTTCATCCTCCGTCTCGGGAATTCCGGCAATTTCGACTATATTGTTTAGCTGTTGCTGTTCCATTTTTTGTACGTATTGCTCCATTGCATATATTTTTAATTCCAAGTGGGTATTTTTATTCTTCAGGAATAGATTTTGATTTTGCAGTTCCTTAATTTTATCATTAAGTGCATCCAAAGTATCACTCATAGAATCCATTTTTTACAAAAGGGGCTTAATGTTTCGTTGACTGGTGATAATTCCATCTTCACAGCTTTCTTGACCTCGATAGAAATGTCACGAAGCAATTTCTTAGTTGCTGCGTCTTCGATATTATTCAGCTGGTTTATAGTGTTCAAATCATCATCGGGAATCACTATGGATTTAAGACGAGGTGTTTCTTTGTGACATTCTTCACACGTCCACTCCAGATACTCCGTATTTCGCAGCGCTGATATCTGCTTTGCCGTTAAGCCTGTACATACTTGAGTAGCGTGAACTATTTTCCCACATTTATTGCATTCAAGGCCAGGTATTTTTTTTGTAATTGGTTTATCACAGTTATCGCATTCAGGCATTTTATATAAGTAGGTAGTTGTATACCGAGAACACGAAAAGAGAATCGGGTGCACCGTACGAAAGCTCGCGAGTGACTGAATTACTACAATTAAATCAATATTCTGTAGTGTTGTGTTGCAAAATGTAACTTTATCCACGTAAAAAAAATTACAATACATACGTTTACAAATTACTGTTATTTCAAATGATTTTAATGTTATTTCAAAATCTTTAGTACCACATCTTATGTCATATCAAATATTTAACAGGTGTTAACGCCTCAGCAAGTCGATGAACTGACTACAATACTAGAACCCATCAAGGACCTGCAAAACGCAGTTCTTGAGTTAAATGATGCGTTAAGATTGGATGTTCCAGAAATTGACACCTCAAAAAGTGAGTATATTTCTTGTTATCGTATGGAAACATGTCATAAACTATAAATGATTGATATTTCTCTTTTATCTACTAGGTGATGATGAAGAAAGCTGTGAATATGACAATTTATTCGCAAGTGATCTCGGTGTGTCCGTGATTACTGAAGCCATTCGTCAAATGGCAGAAATGAGGTAAAAATATGTTTCTACAATAGTGTGCCTTCAGAAAATAGGGAAGATGCATATATAATATTTATGAAAATTTTATGATTAAAATGTTAAAAAAATATAAAAGAAATGCCACTGCAACGTTTTTATTTTACATAATGTTGTCTTTTAACAATTATTACGAATTAAAAATACTTGAAACGGAACGTATATTAAAACACCAATCAGCGTTCAGTGACGTCACTCCTGTTATGACAACTTCTTTGAGGTTATGGTTATTGTTAAAGTTAATATTATTTTATGGGAATATTAATGGCGTTTTTTACATTAAATAAAAATGGAAGTTGCGTTTATCAAAGCAGACTCCAGGAATTTACCAAGAGTTAGCGTTGACATGGTTATAACTTTTTTTGTCCAAAGTGCAGAGTTTTTAAGTGTAGAAATGAAAGGGACTAAATTACTACGGGATGTAAAAATCGTAGTTGTTAAACTTCGTATTTTATTCAGCGGCTTCTACAAATCTTACGGCGATAATGCAATCGGCTATGTCCAAATTAAAAGAGATGGAAAATAATGTATAGTAAAAGGTCGAGTTCTCCGGAGCATAAAGTACGTAAAGAAGGTTATCGTGTTACAGTTATTTTGTGAAACGCAAAGCTTCAGCGTCATTCTCCAACTGTAAAAATAAAAATATATTATAGACAGGTTTTGTAAGTATTAGGTAGGTTACTAATGCGTTTTTACGTACAAGCAGATTAATTAAGCATATAACAAGTATAGTAACAAGTCTTTGGAGAATAATTGTCATTTCTCTTCGCGAGTCAAAAAAAAACAATTTATTTGGGAACTTTGTTGAAGTAGATTGGCACAAAACATGAGTCAGCACGGCTTTTTTTCGGAATATTAGTGGTATTGTTATGATCACATGATGTTGATGGATAGTAGATTTTTAATTTTTCAAAAAAATATTTCGAAAGTCGAAAAAATATGCAAAAGTATGAAATTTTAAAGCCAGCAACGAACAATTATGACCAGTGACTGCCAGGAGTGACGTCATCGCAACCATAGGTTCGTTTTCGCGCGAAAATTTAAATTGTCAATTTAAAACCGCATTTTTTCCGATAAATCACAATGTTTTAATTTTTTAATAAATCTGTGGTTTATTCTACATGGAATTCTTTAAAATGAAAACAAAAATAAAAATATTGCATCTTCCCTATTAAAATGTTCATTTTTGTATAGAGAGTTAGTCGGTTATTTAAATACATATCCAGTATCTTAGTGGTGCAATTGAGACCGTCATATAGTGTCAATCGTACACGCACGTAAACTAAATGTGGTATGTGTTTCCGCTTCACTAAACGGAAATTTGCCCTGCTAGCTTCTCCACCACATAAATTTTTTAATCGCACTATATTCTATACGTTATTAAGTTCCAATTATGATTTTGCAAACTTTGTTTAGATTGTGCCTTAATAATTGTGAGTTTTCCAAGTTGTTTTGTTTTTATTGTTGTACTAGTTTACCCCACGTACTTCGTACGGGTTAAAATAATTTGGAAGAAATGACGGACCCGAGTCTACCGTACCAAAAGGGATGAACGTCAAATGTTGGACAGGAAAGAAGATAGAACAGATTATATGGAAAAAATGAATTCAAATTGACGTTTTTACTATCTTCCTCGCAATTTTTACATATTTTATCACCTTTTAAACCTTCCCTAGACCTCCAAGAACATTTCAATAGATAAGATAAATCCGTTCAGCCGTTCTCGAGTTTTAACGAGACAAACGAATAGCAATTGATTTTTATGTATATAGATTATTAAGTGTGATGACTACATTTGATGATTGGTCCTTAGATCGCGCGTAGTGCGCGGAGCGTTGGCGTCGCTAGGAGTGGCGCGCGGCGCGGGTGGTGTACCCGGCGCCGGCCACTGCGCCGTACACTGGCAGGCGTACCGCGCGCTGCTGTGGCTGCGGGCCGCCTCCATGCATCGCCCGTGAGTGTACAGCGGGGAGCTTAAATAGAACATCTATTAGAGTTGGGTGCGGGTCCCCCGACGACAACGGCTAACTAGAGCCGAGGTCCGAGTCTCAGAGACGCCCTCTAGTTGTGCCGACCCCCTCAGGTTCGAATGGTCTAGAGCAAGTGCTCAAAATTTCGATCGCGATCGACCAGTCAATCGCGAGTGCTTTTTGGGTAGATCTCGAGAAGTTTTTGAAGTTATACTTCTTTAGGCGCGTTATGAAAAAATGATGAGAGTGAAATTTTAAGATGCGCGCGCATCACTGTAACACAAAAAATTAACGCTAAAGCGACCAACTTCATGCTGCTACTTTTGTGTTTACCGCACATTAAGAAAATCTACCAACATGTCGGACGGTGCCGTGATGCTGCCGAACGACCTATTTGATAGATCTTGATAACTTGATAATAAAAACTCCTTGACGATTATAGAATGTTTATTTTCTTGATAGGTATACGAGCTTACAATTACTTGATACACACACGACTGACTATACAATCAAATAATATTAAATAAGTAAACTATTTCGCTGACACGGAAACATGTGCGGTAATTAGACCGCACACAACAAAATAGAAATAGAATCTCTATTTAGTGGGTGCTAACGACTGCATTGTGAAGGCCTATCAAAAGTATTTATTAATCTGGAACAACGGAACCAAAGCGCGATTCAGGAGCAGCGCCATCTCTTGACCATTGGTGTAGTAGAACCAAAAACCACATCTTTATTTTTTGTAATAAAGTAACAGTTATAGGTATTCATATTTATAATATTTATCCACATGTTTCTAGTTTGTATATTCGGAATACGTGTTTGAGTTTCATACAAGTGCAAATCACATATGTTCTAATAAATTATATTCAGTAGCGATTTTAATTGAATATTTTGATTATTTATTTATTTTTTCAAATTAAAACTGAACTTTATTGACTGTGTCCTTTTCCAGACTTTTTATTAATTTATTGTAATTAATTATTTGCATGCAATTAAAAACTAATTTTAAACGATGCCAAAGAAGGATAACTTTTCACGCGCCTACATAAGTACACGCACCCATTTTTTTTTTTTAATAACATAACTAAACTACAAAAAAATATTACGTAATAAATAACACTCTGCTAGCGGCAAAAGGCGGCTTTATCAAAGGAACGCGCGGTACTTGTCAAAGAAAAGCCGCGTTTTTTATTTTTGCCGCTTTTCTAGAAATTTCGGTCGGCGCGTTTGACGGGAACATTCGAGACTTTCGTTCACTCCGATATAAATGGTCCGCCTGCAGGATTTGGAGTCATTCTGAATTGTAACTTATAGGCAATACTTCGTCGATACAAAGTTTATTATTAAATAGTACAAAATGAGTGCAGCGAAGAAATCTAAAACGTCTCATTTTAATAACGATTGGGAGGAAGAATTTTTCTTTTGTATGGTGAAGGATAAGTGCATGTGTCTTATTTGTCGTGCGTCAGTTGCAATACCTAAGCGTGGTAACTTAGAGAGGCATCATAAAACGGTACATCAGTAAACGGACAATCAAAAGCTGCTTCGATCGCGTCATTTAAAATATCTCATATATTGGCAAAACACAAGAAACCATTCGAAGGTGGATCGGTTGTGAAGGAAGCATTTATTGAAGCGGGTGAGACTTTATTTGGAGATTTTAAAAATAAAACAGAAATCATGTCTGCTATTAGAGAACTTCAGTTATCTCGTCCGACTGTCACAAGGCGTATTGAAGTCATGAGTCAGGACATGGCAGATAAACTAAAACATTATATCATGGAATGTACATACTTTTCTTTACAGTTCGACGAACCCACAGATATGACAGACACTGCCCAGCTGTGTATTTTTATTCGGATGGTATTCAATGATATGTTGGCTAAGGAAGATTTTTTGACAACCATTCCTCTGAAGGGGAAGACCCTTGGCGAAGATATTGTCACAAACGCTCTCGAAACGTAACCGCGAAAGTGCTAGAGATTGAATTTGCCAGGGCACCGCGGGTCGCGATAGAGGTTTAGTAATGCGGCTCATTCTAAAATGAGCCTTATGCAGTGCGGCGTAAGGGAGAAAGTGCAACATCTGCACTTGTTTACAAGTTATGCGCGTTACCTGCGTAGGTATAAGTAGGTATTTCGTACTCGCGGGTGCTAGGTAATTCTCAATTTAACAGGTACTTTCTAGAATGCGTCGATCGGCGTATATAAGCGCGATTGGCGCCGCGCAGAGTTAGTTGAGTTTCAACAGCGATTTCCAACCACCAGGAGAAGGATTGCAGCAGTGGACCACGGAGAGTGAACGACTGGTGCGTCGCGCTTATGCGTCCAGTAAGACATCCATAGAAAACATTGCAGTTCAAGCTTTTGTGGATGGTATAAGAGACCACGAAGTAAGAGTGGCCGTGCGTTTGGGACATCATACGACATTGAAAACCGCTTTAGCACACGCGCTGGAGGTAGAGACGGTACGCAGTGACTACAAGACGCACAGAGTGCGAGAAGTTGTTGCAGCAGTCAAGCCTCGAGGTGGACCGATATGCTATGGATGTGGAGAACGAGGACTCATCAGGATTAACTGTCCGGTCCAGCGGAGAAATGGGACAATGTCAACCACTACTCAGGTTGATTGTAGCGTGGACTCGGTTGCAGAGCTGGCAATATATATGACGTTTTCTTCAATTTTGTAAAAAAAGTAACCGCGAGAGTGCTAGAGTTCGAATTTGCCAGAGCACCGCGGGTCGCGATAGAGGTCGAGTAATGCGGCTCATTCTAAAATGAGCCTTATGCAGTGCGGCGTAAGGGAGAAAGTGCAACGACATCTACACTTGTTTACAAGTTATGCGCGTTACCTGCATAGGTATAAGTAGGTATTTCGTACACGCGGGTGCTAGGTAATTCTCAATTTAACAGGTACTTTCTAGAATGCGTCGATCGGCGATTGGCGCCGCGCAGAGTTAGTTGAGTTTCAACCAGGGATGTTGCGAACATTCGCATCTGCATCCGCAAATGCGGAACATCCGCATTGATTTGGACATCTGCATCTGCTTCCGCATCCGCATTAATCAATGCGAATGTTCATGCGGATGCGAATATTATACAAGTAGCGACAAGAAAGAAATTGGGCGGGGCCGGTGATTGACTCGTGCCGGTCGCACGTGACAATAACCAATGGGAGCGAAGAAATTGGTGACAAGATTCGACACGTTTGTTTGTTCTAGCTAATGCATCATTTGTTTCTTGCAAGTGAATAAATATTACGTGTTTGTTTGCGCTGTGATGTGAAAGTGAACTACTTATCGTATCATAAAGATAGATAGGTATTTTTAATGTTGTTGTGATACAGTGTGTAAATAAGAAGAGTTTACAAGAAAACTTTATATTATTTAAGACTAATATCCATAAGATCACAAGGTAAATTCTATTATATAACTCCGGTAATACGTTTTATTGTAGGAAAAAATATCGTTTTATGACGAAATTCGTTATTTTTCCAGTGTGATTCCCGTTATTGATAGTTTATCTAACTATTTAGTCAACAATGTCACCACCGACCAAAAGTAATGTATGAGATTATTTTGAACCAAATATATATAACCATAATATCTTATACATCCGCATCTGCATCCGCGGATGTGAGCCTGCTAAACTCCGCATCCGCATCCGTATCCGCGGATGTGAAAATATCGGCATCTGCAACATCCCTGGTTTCAACAGCGATTTCGGAGCGAATCCAAAGGCGATCAAAGTGCAACAAAAGTATTCCAGTGCGATAGTTTAGTGTTTTGTAATTAACATTGTGTGTTAATTGTGTAAACTGAGTGGTGAATAAAGAACTGTCAAGCGTGAACTGGCATATAATTTCGAACCCCATCCCGATACGTAACAATATAAATTAGTGTGCATTACAACCGATGGAGCACCAGCAATGACTGTAAACAAAAACTTTTTTGTGGCATTGTGTCGAGCTATCCATTATTTCCCTCCATTTTTTTCATTCCATTGCATTATACATCAACAAGTTTTGTGTTCAAAAGTTTTAAACATGAGGAAATTATGGGCATTGCAATTAAAATTGTGAATTCCATCCGTGCACGTAGCTTGCAACGTTGGGTCTTTAAGTTGCAGTTGGAAGAAAGGGAGTCAGCTGAACATATTGATTTAGTTCTTCACACGGACGTCAGGTGGTTGAGTCGCGGAAAATTCCTAGAAAGGTTTCAAGAATTATTGCCCGGAAAAAACGAAAAATGGCTGACTAATTTGGCATTTTTGACTGACATCACAATGCACTTAAACACCATTTATTTAGAGCTTCAAGGTAAAGGAAAAACTATTATTGAGATGATTAGCGCAGTGAACGCAATCAAAAGTAAATTGCAACTTATGATTGATCAACTGAAAAGAAAGGATCTGAAACATTTTCCGTCTTTGAAAGCAAGGAGTCCTCAGTTGAATTATGATACGTATAAGGCTGAATTATCCATTAGTCAAATATTTTTTGACAATTCGAATGGAATAACTATGAGTTTTTCATTGATATTGTAGAGAAGAACGTAATTAAACCTAACCCAAACCTTGACTAAAATAATGTATATTGTGCGGAAAGCTAATATCTATATATGTTACGGTACACCCTACCTAGGTAGGTACGTAGGTGGGGTGTATCGTGTATGTACGACAACCCTGCATCAAACATACTTGCAGCCTCGCAGAGTCGATCGTAAGTAGTCTTAAATTTTGGGGTAAATCACCAGCAGTTCAAGTTTGAGCACCCCTGGTCTAGAGGCTGGAACGTAGAGGAGACTCCCCCCGTGGGGAGATGCCATCCGCCTGGAATGACTCTAGAGGCACTCGCCAATTCTCAGCTTGAGGGTCCCGAATGATCTCGCCGTCCCCAAACCTGGTGACGCTGTAAAGGTCATCTGCGCCTAACAGCATACACATTAAAAAAATGGTTGGGTGCGGATCCGGGAGGCTCGGGTGACCATCACGCTGCGAAACTATCAAAAGCAGTTCGCGTACTCAATATATAGTCCGACAAGGATCTTTATAAATATGGCGAACATTGGAACTAACGCCGCCTTCTTTGTAAACGTCATATTTTTTATTTTATATACGTAGACAGGGGCGCCCTCTCTGATCTGCCATTCCCATTCCTAAAGATACTTGTCGCAGTGTATTTGAAATTCGATCAGTTTGTCCAACTCCGCTGAGGCATTCCGGCTGAAACGCACTCTGCGTTGGGTGGATCCAGGGGCGAGTTTCGAGCCGGCGAAAGCGCGGTGGGCGTAGGAGGGGCGTATGTGCGGCACAGGATAGGCAGGGGGGCGCATATTCATAGTTAGCCTAGGGCGGTTAGAACTCTTAGTCAGGCACTGGGCGCGGGTGGCCATCTCGCTGCGAAACTATCAAAAGGACTTCGTGTATTTATTGTGTTATTTGAAATTTATAAAACCAACCTGGGGACGCAGAGTGTTATAAATAGGATATGTGAAGAACATAATAAAATCTGTACTGGGTCCTTGGTAGGCGTTGATTTGTTCGCTGCATCATTGATTGCATTATGGAGGGCTTTGCTATCGAGTATTGATTGTGAAACTTGATTGTGGTTTAGTTTTATGTTTGTTTGTATAGGTACCTAGTTTAGTTTTTATCACTAATTTTGTCAGAAATAAGAGTTGAGTATGCCTGTAACTGGTTTTGCACAACTTTATGTATAACGTATGTTTTTTTAATTATGTTGGGTGTAAAAATGTTGGCTTGCCAAATAAATAAAATAAAAAATTGGAACAGTTCGTCTAACTCCGCGGAGGCGTTTCGGCTGAAGCTGAGCGCGTTGGGCGCGGACCCAGGGGCGGGCTGCGAGCCAGCGGGACCGGGGGCGGGAGCTGAGAGCGCAGTAGGCGTAGTTGGAGCGTACGCGCGGGGCGCGGGCGGCAGGCGGGCCCGGGCCCATCTCGCCGCCGCGCGGGCCCCGCTGCTGTGGCATCAGGCCCTGCCGCTGCTGGCGTATCACCTCGCGCACCAACTGTATCCTTTACTAATGAACTTTGAAGCTGGCTGGTTAGATATCTCATCTTAAGTCTCGTTGACATGCTCAAAGATTGTGGTTTTTACATCTTCAAAGCCAGAGTGAACAAGCATCTACTAAGCAGGCGTTTACCATTTTAGGCCTCTTCATCGCTTTCCATCAGGCGAGATTGTGGTCAAACGTATTGCCTATTAAGCATTAAAAAAAGTGCTTTGACAGAGTCGCTTTGTTGATAACCTTACTTTGATGCTACTTTGATCGTGTAAAATAATAATCACAGCTTACTTTGATACCGGCGCCCAATCAAAGCGGAATTGAACCGCATTAAACTTCGAAAGCCAACTTTGATGTGAAAGAACGAACCAAAATGGCGTCTTATTTAAAACCGGCCAAGGGGTTTTGTACCATTATCTATACAACATTAGAACCTATATTATAATATAGAGCAAAAAATGGCAAAAAAAAACACTTCTGTTGTATGGGAGCTCCTCTTAAATATTTATTTAACAAAAAACGATGACAAAGCTACTTTGTCAAAGCAGATTGAGCATCTCAACGCGGCTTTAAATTCCTGTAGAAAGGCCAAAGGAGAAAATCTTCAATTAGGTGATAGTAGCTCGAGGACCGTGGCCCGACTGGTGTTGGTCGGGCATTGCATAATTATATGACTTCCATACTTTATGAGTGCAGCGCTGGCAGCGCCATCTCTTGACGAGGTGACAGATTACTTCCTTCACGAATGTTATATGTGGGGCGAGACGTTGATATTCGGTGGAGTGAGATCATAGACATAGAGAATATACTGTGCGTAACAAACTGTAACTAACTGTCAAATAAAACTGAACGGTTATGTGTCAGAGACGAAGCGATAGGGAGGCCATTTCATCTAAGGATTTGTTTGTTTTTATCTCTTTCTAAAGAGTTGTCATTTTCGTGAGAGTTTTGTTCAGTCCATTTTCTGTCAATCAGTGGAATGGACTCAATTGCTATGCTATTTCTGTTTTAGAGAACCATCTTTTCTTGCATGCTATTAATCACGTTTAGTTAATTTTTTCTCATAAAACTATTGTTGAAACACAGGTCTACGAAAAAAAAAACTGTTTGTAATATTATGTTACATTGTCACTTAACTGCAGCTTTCAAGGGATCCATGTAAATGAGATTAGTTAGGAGAATTGATTATATAGAAGGAGTTTAGCCCCACCGTTTCTGCAGAAGTGTTGGTAGAAATAAAAACGATTCCTTACAGTAGTCGCGTATGATGTGTAACATTTGAAACCTCACCTCATATTAATAAAAAAAAAAGAAATACTACAAAAGGAATAAGCCATTTGAATATTATGTTCAAATAGCGCGCGCTTTCGCGACTTCCTGTTACACTTTCGTCCCATTTCACGAAATCACTCCCACAAATTGCAGGAAAGCGAGAGGAAAGATGTTACACATCAAAAACGGTCCTAACGTATAATTTTCTGAGCAACGCTATCAGTTGGGCCGTGAGTGGTGGATTCGAGTTTGGATGGTGGTTAGCGACCATCAATCAGCCGCGCCTGGTGCAGAGCTACGTTGCGATGCTGGAGCCCTGGTGCGAATGGAACGCGTGTTCACGTGAGTCTTATTGTTGCTTGTATTTCTTTTCTTTCTTTCTTTTATTCAACACTGAGTTCTTGGTGGTTGGCGACGATCAAACAGCCGCGCCTGGTGCAGAGCTACGTTGCAATGCTGGAGCCCTGAAGCGAATGGAACGCGTGTTCACGTGAGTAGTATTGTTACTTTTATTCTTTCTTTCTTTGATTCAACACTGAGTTCTTGGTGGTTGGCGACGATCAATCAGCCGCGCCTGGTGCAGAGCTACGTTGCGATGCTGGAGCCCTGGTGCGAATGGAGCGCGTGTTCACGTGAGTCGTATTGTTGCTTGTATTCTTTCTTTTCTTTCATTCTTTTATTCAGCACTGAGTTCTTGGTGGTTAGCGACGATCAAGCAGCCGCGCCTGGTGTAGAGCTACGTTGCGATGCTGGAGCCCTGGTGCGAATGGAACGCGTGTTTATGTGAGTCGTATTGTTGCTTGTATTCTTTCATTTCTTTCTTTGTTTTATTCAACACTGAGTTATTGGTGGTTGGCGACGATTAATCAGCCGCGCCTGGTGCAGAGCTACGTTACGATGCTGGAGCCCTGGTGCGAATGGAACGCGTGTTCACGTGAGTCGTATTGTTGCTTGTATTCTTTCTTTTCTTTCTTTGTTTTATTCAACACTGAGTTATTGGTGGTTGGCGACGATCAATCAGCCGCGCCTGGTGCAGAGCTACGTTACGATGCTGGCGCCCTGGTGCGAATGGAACGCGTGTTCACGTGAGTCATATTGTTGCTTGTATTCTTTCTTTTCTTTCTTTGTTTTATTCAACACTGAGTTATTGGTGGTTGGCGACGATCAATCAGCCGCGCCTGGTGCAGAGCTACGTTACGATGCAGCGATGCTGTAAACTTCAATTTGATTCGAATTTTCTTAAGTGTTTGTAAACTCCTCAATCTTTTAATTACAGACTTCACGCGCCTTCTCATAGTGAAAAACAAGGAAAAATTATTGATACTGTTTTATCTGTATCGCTTTGATTTGTTCAAATCTCTCTTTTTGTGACACGCAAATAACGCCCATTTTAAAGTTTTAACTCGACTTACATATTGTAATGTTTATCTATGCCGTGGTTTAAGAATGTAAGTATCATTCAGTGGCAAACTGAAAGATGTCTTGATAGGTTTTGAAATTAGACAATTACCCTTTCTTTCAAATCAAACACGAGATTTGTGTATTGATTGTGTATTTTTTCATCAATAGCCTATCCTAGTCTACTGCTGGACATAGGCCTTTCCAATTGCACGCCACTCAGATCGTTCTTGGGCTACTCGCATCCAGCTCCTGCCAGCCACCTTGTGCAAGGATAGGATAGGCTGTTGATGATGATGTGTATTTCTTGTTTGACAGGGCAATTTATCTTGGGCTTATCGTTACTCGACTTGGAAGATGCGGAGAGTGCTTACACTGCATTCTGCAAAGCGGCGAAAGGTGTCAGCACTGAGCCATTCCTGAGGCAATTAGTGGCTGCACCGGACGCTCGCCTCACGCAACATCAAGCTCTAGTATTATACTATATGAAGGTATTATTAATTTATTATATTTTTATTTTTTAAGCATTTAACTACTAGATTTTTAAATGAATAGAAAAATTTACTAGAAAAATATCCATGCGGTCCAGGAAGCTGACGAGAATCGAAACCGCACCCTCCGCTATACCGGACGGATGCACTGACCAATGATGCTACCAAGACCTTAATGGCCCTGTCGTTTTTATTCTCGTATTTCTTAGACTACAAGGCAGCGCCATCTCTTCGCATTGTATGTAACCTACAATGTCATATGAAATACCTTTACGAGTATAAAACATTTCAAAGAAGATATAGCAAATGTATAGGAGCTCGATGGCGCAACTGGTTAGCGCGTTCGGCTGCGATCGTTGAATTTAAGCAACTTTCACAGTGGTCGGTCATTGGATGGGTGACCAAAAATTACTATCTCGAGCTCCTCCGTGCTTCGGAAGGCACGTTAAGCCGTTGGTCCCGGCTGCATCTGCAGTCGTTAGCACCCACCAATCCGCACTGGGCCCGCGTGGTGGGTCATGGCCCAATCTCTCTATTCCATCCATAGGGAAGGCCTGTGCCCCAGCAGTGGGGACATTAATAGGCTGATGATGATAGCAAATGTATATTATTATTTGTCATTTTTTAAGCATACAAGCCTTTTTGGCATTGCTTATCCAGGTCTGATATTGAATTTTTGATATAATATATTCGTATTAGAAAACAAAATGCCCTACTATTATATTAAATACCTAACAAACTCCTTGCAGGTTATAAAACTATTTGAGATTCATGATGCTGGGGCGTGCGTGGTCCGTCTTGCAGAAACCGCTATAAGTATCGCTGACAAGGATGATCCTAACTTGGTAAGACTTTTTATTCTTATAATATAGTTCGATAATTAGAAGCCAATCGCCGTCTTCGATAAAGACTACTAAGTTTCAAAGCGCTTTTTTATTTCATAGATTGATCGTAAGATTTTCTTTAACTGGAGTGCCTGCGTAACTAGCATTTTCTATATACAAAAGACAAGGATGGAAAACTGTGCCAGAAAAGCTAGTATCAATACTTCTGTCTTTCCCCGAAATCCCTATCGTTGTCACTTCGGCCAATGACAAAAACGTCGTTTCCAGGAACGAAGTATACCGTAGCATGTTTCCTCTTTTAAACGATCTGTCCCTGTAGTATGAGCACCACAATTAACATTTTAACTAATTTTTTATCACGTCTAACTGCCAAAATCCATAGTAATTTGAGCGTGATTAAGGCGAGCTGTATATCATATCGCGGTGCTCATGCTAGCGGGACCGGGTCCTTTAAGAGGCGTGAAGAAGTACTTGTGTAGGCCGACAAGGAAGGAGTACTAGGGTTTAACTCCATATTCAATCCAACCCAAACTTCTTAAGAAATAGTTTATTTAACATTTCAATATAATATGTTTGTTAACAGGCGATGTTCCAATGGTTAGTCTTCAAATGGCATTTGTCCGGAGGGCGAGTCGAGCGAGCGCTAAGCGCTGCAGCCGCCAACCCCGCTCCCACCGCCCGCGCCGCCGCCGCTGCCACTCTACTCACCACCCTGGGTATGCTCCCCTCATGTCAGTGTGCAGCCAAGCTCCAGTGTCGGTCACATGGCATCTGTCCGGGGGGCTACGGTCACCAACCCCGCGCCCATCGCCCGCGCCGCCGCTGCCACTCTACTCACCACCCTGGGTATGCTCCCTTCATGTCAGTGTGCAGCCATGCTCCAGTGTCGGTCACATGGTATCGGTCCGAAGGGCTGCGGTCACCAACCCCGCGCCCACCGCCCGCGCCGCCGCCGCTGCCACTCTACTCACCACCCTGGGTATGCTCCCTTCATGTCAGTGTACAGCCATGCTCCAGTGTCGGTCACATGGTATCGGTCCGGAGGGCTGCGGTCACCAACCCCGCGCCCACCGCCCGCGCCGCCGCCGCTGCCACTCTACTCACCACCCTGGGTATGCTCCCTTCATGTCAGTGTGCAGCCATTCTCCAGTGTCGGTCACATGGTATCGGTCCGAAGGGCTGCGGTCACCAACCCTGCGCCCACCGCCCGCGCCGCCGCCGCTGCCACTCTACTCACCACCCTGGGTATGCTCCCTTCATGTCAGTGTGCAGCCATGCTCCAATGTCGGTCACATGGTATCGGTCCGGAGGGCTGCGGTCACCAACCCCGCGCCCACCTCCCGCGCCGCCGCCGCTGCCACTCTACTCACCACCCTGGGTATGCTCCCTTCATGTCAGTGTGCAGCCATGCTCCAGTGTCGGTCACATGGTATCGGTCCGGAGGGCTGCGGTCACCAACCCCGCGCCCACCGCCCGCGCCGCCGCCGCTGCCACTCTACTCACCACCCTGGGTATGCTCCCTTCATGTCAGTGTGCAGCCATGCTCCAATGTCGGTCACATGGTATCGGTCCGGAGGGCTGCGGTCACCAACCCCGCGCCCACCTCCCGCGCCGCCGCCGCTGCCACTCTACTCACCACCCTGGGTATGCTCCCTTCATGTCAGTGTGCAGCCATGCTCCAGTGTCGGTCACATGGTATCGGTCCGGAGGGCTGCGGTCACCAACCCCGCGCCCACCGCCCGCGCCGCCGCCGCTGCCACTCTACTCACCACCCTGGGTATGCTCCCTTCATGTCAGTGTGCAGCCATGCTCCAATGTCGGTCACATGGTATCGGTCCGGAGGGCTGCGGTCACCAACCCCGCGCCCACCGCCCGCGCCGCCGCCGCTGCCACTACTCACCACCCTGGGTATGCTCCCTTCATGTCAGTGTGCAGCCATGCTCCAGTGTCGGTCACATGTGTAGTATAGTGGGTATGTTATTATTTATATATAATACGAGGGTACGCCTCGAATATGTGTGTGTATTCTCTAAACGTCCTGTAGTCGAAATATAGTCACGAAATCAAACAGTCGTATTATTTTCCACCTAAATCTCAAGATACATTAGTGGCGACGAGGATTAAAATTAAGTTATTTAACGATGTCTTTAGGTAGAATTAATGATTTTGACGTGCATTCCGGCAACTGGTCGATGTATATCGAACGTTTGGAGATGTACTTCAAGGTGAATAAGGTGGAAAAAGACTTGTGGCTGCCTACGTTGATAACAGCGGTGGGTGACGAAACATATGAATTACTGAGTAGCTTGGCCAGCCCTGCCAAGCCGTCGGAGCTAACGTACGAAGCGGTGGTGGTACTTCTGCGTGAACATCTGCAACCTCGACCGTCGGTGATGGCGGAGCGCTATCGTTTTCGGCAGAGGCGACAACAGGCGGGCGAAACAATCGCACATTATTTGGCAGAGTTGAAGAAACTATCCAAGTATTGTGAATTTGGGATCAGCTTGGAAGATAATCTGCGCGATCAGTTGGTTTGTGGGGTACTCAGTGACGTCATCCGGCAACGCCTATTTGCGGAAGACGATTTGAAATTTAACGGTGCCATGAAATTGGCTTGCGCTCTTGAAGCAGCGGAACGGGATGCTGCGGTTGTGGACATGTCAGCTGCGGCAGGCAAGAGTGGCACGCTGGAGGAAGTCCACAAAATAAGAACGCGAAAGGAACGCGGGCTACAGCGGTCGGCGTTAAAGTCCGGAGACTGCGAAGCCTGTGGGATTGCAGGACACGATACGGAAAGATGTCGATACAAGACATTTGTGTGCAGCAAGTGCAAGAGGAGAGGTCATTTACGGCGGGTGTGTCCGATAACTCGAGCTGAGGGTAACCGCGGTGGAGGCCAACGCCGGCTCAATAATGTCCAGCGTCATCGAAGGTTCGGATGAGGAACCGTTTTCCGAGGAAGTGGAAGAGGAGTTTCATCAGCTGAGTTTAAACAGTTATAAACCAGTAAGTTTATTAATTGATGTTAACGGAATTTCATTAAAGATGGAGGTAGATGCAGGCTCTGCTGTTTCTTGTATAAGCAAACAAATGTATGAAAAGTATTTTAAAAACATGCATATTGTAAAGAGTAATGTGATTTTTAAATTTTATAACGGTAGTACTGTTAGACCGTTAGGTGTTATTTTTCCAAAGGTAACATACAAAAGAATAGCGAAATGTTTAGAATTGTTTGTAATCGATGGGGGAACCACTGCCTTATTAGGAAGGCAGTGGCTATCAGAGTTAAAAATTAAAATTCCATTTCTGAACAATAATTTTAACAATATGGTGTTAGGAAAAAAATGTGCGTATACTGATAATTTAAACGTGTTGATCGGCAGATATGAGCGGTTGTTTAGCGGCGGGCTGGGTCGGTTCACGGGCGGCAAGGCTCAGTTGCGAGTGCGGGAAGGTCTTACTGGTCGACAGATATCCCTTACCTAAAATCGACGATTTGTTAGTGAGACTCAACGGTGCCCAGCTATTTTCGAAAATTGACCTTTCTCAGGCGTATAATCAGATTGAATTAGATAACAGTAAAGATTTTACAGTTATTAATACACACCGAGGTTTGTTTAAATACAATAGGTTGGTTTACGGCCTAGCTTCCAGTCCGGGCATTTTTCAAAGAATAATGTGTAAGTTACTCGGTGATATATCAGGGGTAGAAATATTTTTAGATGATATTATAATAGGAACAAAAGGGGGTGTATTGGAACATTTAACTACTTTGGAACAAGTTTTTAAAAGATTGCAAAATCACGGCATAAAACTAAAGAAAAGTAAGTGCTCATTTTTGGTGGAGCAAGTTAAATATTTAGGTTATATCATATCCAGCCGTGGAGTTACGGTGGATAGTGACAAAATAGACGCTATTACTAAAATTACAAGGCCGGAGGATGTTTCTCAATTAAGGTCGTTTTTAGGTTTAGTAAATTTCTATGCAAAGTTTGTTAGAAATATAAGCGCGATACTGTATCCTCTTTATGAATTATTAAAAAAAGGCGCAACGTGGAACTGGACACGGAAATGTGAGGAAGCGTTCATAAACATAAAAAATATTTTAACAAGTGCGGAGGTGCTAGTGCATTATGATCCTCAAAAACCCTTGACGCTGACCTGCGACGCTAGTGCTAAAGGCATAGGCGGGGTGCTCACTCAGCCGGTGGCGGCGCGGGCGGCGGGAGAGGGGGTCGCGGAGCGGCCGGTCGTTTACGTGTCGCGCGCGCTCACAGCGGCAGAGAAACATTATTCACAAATTGATAGGGAGGCGCTCGCGATTGTGTTTTGCTTACAAAAGTTACATCAATATTTGTATGGCAGGCTTAGTTAGCATTTTCGGATCTAAACATGGGATACCTACGATGGCCGCCAGTCGTATGCAGCGATGGGCGATTATAATGTCTGCCTATACTTATGATATAGAATACGTAAACACGAAACAAAACGCAGCGGACGGGTTATCGCGGTTGCCGGTCGACGTTAGTGGGGATAGGAGTAAGGACTTGTCACTCGAGCCGCCAGAGCAAACGTATTTACATTTTGCACAGAATGAATTGTTATTAGATTATAATGTTATTAAACAACAAACTTCACACGATCCATTTTTAAGCAGAATATTGTTGTATCTTCGGGAAGGCTGGCCTGAAAGTAATGAAATTAAAGAGTTACAACCGTACTTTAATAGAAGAAAAGAATTGTATGAGGAACTGGGTTGCGTTATGTGGGGTTATCGAGTGATTATACCTGAACGGTGTAGGGATCGTGTTTTGAAGGAGCTACATGCGGCGCACATGGGCATGAGTAAAACTAAATCTATGGCCCGGAGCTACGTGTGGTGGCCCGGCCTCGACGAAGCCGTGGAATCGATGTGCTCCAGCTGCGAAGTGTGCGCGGCGGAGGCGGATGCGCCGCGACGTCACTCGGTAGCGCAGTGGCCGTGGCCGGCCAAGCCGTGGTCCCGGATTCATTTGGACTTTTTAGGGCCATTTCAGGATAAATTGTATTTAATATTAGTTGATGCTAGAACAAAATGGATAGAAGTTTGGCATCGAACATTTATTTTCGGCGCCGTATCACCCAGCTTCGAACGGAGCGGCCGAAAATGCAGTGCGAACGGTTAAAAAGGCGATTCGTAAAGCAATTAGACAAAAGGAGGATGTACAATCATTTTTAAATAAATTTTTGTTACACTATAGGAACACGGAACATTGTACAACAAAAGAAAGTCCAGCGGCACTGATGTTAGGTAGGAGTTTACGTACTAAACTAGATCTACTACGGCCGAATAGGGATAATAAAAAGAGTCCTACTTCTCAGACATATGTAAATAAAGGTGGAGACCGTTTGTTTAAGCCGGGCGAAGAAGTGTGGGTGCGACAATATCAGGGTACCAACAAATGGTTACCAGGCAAAGTGGTAGACCGACTTGGTACGACAGATTATAGGGTAACAGATGCAGTAGGTAGGGATGCACATAGGCATGTCGACCAGTTAAGACGGAGATCCGTGCGTAGTTCGTTAGTTGCTCCTTCCTCGGTGGAGAGTTCAACCCCAGAGGTTGAGTTACCGGTACCAGCGGTGGAACCACCATCTCTTCCTCAAGATCCGAGCTCTGTAGTTGCAACAAAACCAGATGTTAATATCGAAGATACAGTTGTAATTACCGAATCAAAACAAACACCGTCAGCTAGTGGACCTCCCGCTCTCGGACCTGGTGCATCACCATGCTACGCCACCCCGCCCCCGGCCCACTCCCGACCGATAAGGAAGTGTAGATTAGATAAGCTACCTAGATATAAAATTTTAATGTTTATACTATTTTTGTTTTTTTTTTGTTTTGATCTTTATTATAATGTTTAATTTTTATTTTAATATTATGTGAATAATATATTGTGTACCCATGTTTTTCTTTGTATACTTAATCTATTATCTCAGTATTGTAACATTTTAGAGGGAGGGACTGTAGTATAGTGGGTATGTTATTATTTATATATAATACGAGGGTACGCCTCGAATATGTGTGTATTCTCCTCTAAACGTCCTGTAGTCGAAATATAGTCACGAAATCAAACAGTCGTATTATTTTCCACCTAAATCTCAAGATACATTAACATGGTATCGGTCCGGAGGGCTGCAGTCACCAACCCCGCGCCACCGCCCGCGCCGCCGCCGCTGCCACTCTACTCACCACCCTGGGTATGCTCCCCTCATGTCAGTGTGCAGCCATGCTCTAGTGTCGGTCACATGGCATCTGTCTGGGGAGCTGCGGCCGCCAACCCTCAAGCACGAATTTTTTGCAGCAAAGCTTGTATGAAAACTAAGCGGGGCGCTGCTACAGACGTGAGAACAAACTCTATTGCAAATGTAAGTACCTCAGCCAAATAGTCAGTGTTGTACATGCCTGCAATGGCATTTCACACTATCGAGTACAACTTGCATATTCCTTATTGAACTTTCGTGAAATAATAAAATATTTAAAAGTGTAAAAATTGACTTTACGGCGGAAAAAAAATGATTGACGAAACAATTTGTTCTGTTTCACAAAAATAAATGAACAATAAATCTTCACCAGAAATATTTATGTAAATATATCGAAATGAACAAGATTGATTCTAAGCTTCTAAGAATTATGAAATACTTGGGCCTATTTTTTATTATAACAAAGCACTGAAGGTTAATAGATTTATTTTTCTGCTCAGACTTGAGACAAGGCTGTAACAAAATGAATTCTTTGATTTTTGCAAATGGACAAAAGCAAACTTTACAGATTTCCTGCCAGGCCATCAAATTATTTGTATTTATTTTTTCTTTAAAAATACTTTTTGAGAAGTATAAATCAAAGAAATGGGAAGTACGAATATAATTCTATAAAATACGAAATTGATGGCTCTCTTAATAATTGGCAATATCTTTTATCAAATGTAGCAAGGTAATGCGTTGTAGGAGTTTGCATAATTTTCATTATTGTAACTTTATCTAACTTAATCAGAAGTTCCTGAGCCTTTTTTCATAGAAATTATATAATTTCAACCATTCAGCATTAAATATTACTAAGTACAATATTTATACATTGTAGGGCAGTCGCTCATACAAAATTTTACCATGTCTTTGTCGATGATATGTCAAATAAATAATTGCTCATTTATATTATTTGTATTTGTGCAGCATCCCGTAAGCAATTGGACGCGCTAGTGTCTTGCAGTGCGCTCGCGGACGAGGCGGAGAAGGCGGCGGCAGCGCGCGCCAAGCTGCACGACGCGCACGCGCAAAACCCCTACTACGACTTCCTGTATGCGCTGCACGTGGCCCGCCACCACTACCGGAAAGGTGAGCGAGGGTTAGATAGATTAGGCCCCGTCACGAAGCAGTTGCAGTTCCTGTACGCGCTGCACGTGACCCGCCATCACTACCGGAAAGGTGAGCCAGCTAGGAGTAGATAGATAAGGCCCCGTCACGTTGCAGTTGAAGTTCTTGTACGCGCTGCACTTGGTTCGCCACCACTAACGTAAAGGTGAGCGAGGAGTAGATAGATTAGGCCCCGCCATGAAGCAGTTGCAGTTCCTGTACGCGCTGCACGTGGTCCGCCACCACTACCGGAAAGGTGAGCCAGCTAGGAGTAGATAGATTAGGCCCCGTCACGAAGCAGTTGCAGTTCCTGTACGCGCTGCACGTGGTCCGCCACCACTACCGGAAAGGTGAGCCAGCAAGGAGTAGATAGATTTGGCCCCGTCACGAAGCAGTTGTAGTTCCTGTACGCGCTGCACGTGACCCGCCATCACTACCGGAAAGGTGAGCCAGCTAGGAGTAGATAGATTAGGCCCCGTCACGAAGCAGTTGCAGTTCCTGTACGCGCTGCACGTGGTGCGCCACCACTACCGGAAAGGTGAGCCAGCTAGGAGTAGATAGATTAGGCCCCGTCACGAAGCAGTTGCAGTTCCTGTACGCGCTGCACGTGGTCCGCCACCACTACCGGAAAGGTGAGCCAGCAAGGAGTAGATAGATTTGGCCCCGTCACGAAGCAGTTGTAGTTCCTGTACGCGCTGCACGTGACCCGCCATCACTACCGGAAAGGTGAGCCAGCTAGGAGTAGATAGATTAGGCCCCATCGCGAAGGAGCAGCAGTTCCTGCACGCGCTGCACGTGGTCCACGATCACTACCGGAAAGGTGATCCAGCTAGAAGTGGATACATTAGGCCCCGTCACGACGCAAGCAGTTGGATGCGCTAGTGTCTTGTAGCGCGCTCGTGGACAACCCCTTCTACGATTTCCTGTACGTGCTGCACGTGGCCCGCCACCATTATCGGAAAGGTGACCCAGCGGGAAGTAGATATAATAGTTGTCTATAGTATATAGTAATAGTCGGGGTCGACGATAGCAATTAAAGCTTAACAGCAGAATTAAGCACAAAATAAATATCATGTAGTAAGTAGATATTGTTGTAGCATTTTGCTCAGAAGTTGTACTGAATTTCTTTTCTAAATTACGGTGTTATTCCTCTTATATTAAGTTCATTATTATATTATATGGTTCATATGTTATGGAACTGTTAGGTCAGTTTGTTAACATGAAATTGTTCAATTGTTATTAGGTATGACTGTTTGTTCCTTAATAAATATATAAAAAAAAAACAACGGAAACACATTGCCAGTAATGGTGGTTATGTTCTATGTTATGGTTTCCGCATTAATTAAGCCCTTAAGATGGACCATGGTGCATGTGCCATGGCAGACAATTATTCCAGCCCGCCCACCTCCCTCCAGAAGCCGATCAGTCTTCCCAGTCTTCTCAGGGCATCAGCAAGGGATCACGCTTTACTGAGTCTGCCCCTCTCTGTATCGCTGCCTACATGCATGCTCTGCAAAGGGGTCAATGATGAATAGGGTGTGGAGATGTTTATTCAGTTAGCAAAGCCCGACGATGGTCCCCACCACCAATCTCAGGATGTTCCTGTCCAGGCGCAGGCCGGTCAGCTCTGGTGGTCATATATTTTAAATTTTAAAAGGTTAATAAAAGCTACCCCGCACGCCGGTAACGCTTTCCCACGTATTAAAATCAGTGTTTCCTACGACAGCGGCGGCAGTAATGTACGAGAGGGCGACCCGATGTGCTGCGGAACGAGGCGCCGCCGGTGGCGCGCGGCGACGATGGCTCGCGGCCGCGTTAACGTGCCTGCGCCTTGCTCGGCCCGAGCACGCATTTCTGGCGCGGCCCGGATCCGACCCGGCCTCGGCCTCCGCCCGCAGTCTGCAGGTACAGTGACGTGCCTGCACCTGGCGCGGCCCGGACCCGACCCGGCCGGAACACGCGTTTCTGGCGCGGCCCCGACCCGACCCCGGCCTCGGCCGCCGCCCGCAGTCTACAGGTACAGTAACGTGCCTGCACCTGTTCCGGCCCGAGCACGCGTTCCTGGCGCAGCCCGAACACGACCCGGCCTCGGCCGCCGCCCGCAGACTGCAGGTACAGTAACGTGCCTGCATCTGCCCGGCCCGAGCACGCGTTCCTGCCGCGGTCCGGACTTGAGTTGAATTTCAACTCTTTCTTTGGTTTAGTTTTTGTTCTGAGGTCGCAAGCTACTGTACGTACACATTCCTGGCACAGTAATACGTTCTTGCTGTTCAAAATCTAAATAATTAATTTGCCGTCGCCTAGTTTATTACAAACAAAATTAATATGATAACATATTTTCTTGCTTTTTCAGATTATTGGACCGGAAGAGTTGGCGGCAGAATTACGAGAAGAGGACCCCGACTCTTTGAATCCTGTACAGGAAGCTTTACTTAGTAAGTGATTATTAGATTTTTAAATTTATCTGTTTACAAGATACATTATTATCGTTGATATGGTACTAATTATAATTATTTTTTTCCAGGCAATGAAAATATTGATTTCGATAAGTTATACCCAAATCTAAAAGATGCCGATGCGGACACTCTACTCTCAGTTACAAAAAGAGTGATCAGCACAGGACAGTTTTTACCTCAGTGGTTTCTTCTAAGATACATGGTATGTAATTATATTTTTGACATTATTTTCACGTTGCATCGTATCTTAATGTATTTTTGCTAATATAGCGTGTACAGCAGCAACTCCTTGTCATACGCACAACGAATTAGAAATGATATGGAAGTATTAATCTCTAACAAAGCCCGATAAAACATGGTTCCAAACTCTTACAACTTCGATACTAACGCGACACGTGCACAGACTAAATAATTTACTTTGATTCGAATACATATCTAAATGAAGGAAATGAATTCGTCTCTCCATTTATTGGATTAGATAATATTAAACGAAAATCTCAACCAATCCATTGATCGACGTGTTCATCGCAGGTTTTTCGCCTAGCCGATTTGATCGCAGTTTGCGTGGAACTACTTTTTAGCGCTGTTGTTGTTTTTGGCGCGAACGGCGCGTCAAAATGTCAAAATTTATTTTTGCTTAATTAACGTCTACAATAGCAGCTCCTTGTTAAACACATTGTTTGTTTACAGGAAGTGGATAGAAGCGGGTGCATTCGCGCTCTGTTGTGCGGGGGACGGTGCGTAGAGGCGGCGAGTGTTTGCGTGCGCACAGTGCGCTGCGAACTGGCGGCGTTGCGGCCCCTCCCGCCCGCGCCTCGCGCTGCTCCCCTCGCGCTCTGTGCCGCCCTGCTGCGGGAGCTAGCCCACCACACGCACCAGCCGTACGTCCGCCAGGTGATGATGGATTTCCCTAAGTCGCGCCCTATCGATCGATCTAGCCAGTGGATTTTCTGAGAGTGATCGGTTCATTTTTATATTTCAAGAAATTTATTTGAAATTAATTAATGCTCGTAAGTTGATTCAAGTGGGATGATAAAACTGCAAAATTCCAAAATAAACTGAAAGATTTTTTTGTTTACAGGTATACGAAGAATTGGATAAAGTAGTGAACGAATATACTGAAGTTGTTATAAGAACTTCTAACGATATGAAACTAGCGATGGCACAGTAAAACCCTTTTTTGGAGATTGAATAAATAAAAAAATGTTATAATTTGAATATTTGTTTTTATTAAAAAAACACTCAAACTGGTACAACAACAAGTACATTACATATAGAATATTGTGGTCACATCACCTTTAACTAAAAATACTAGTATACCATCTAATGCCACCATAAAAAAAATACTAATATGCCACATATCACCCATAAATACTTATTAACTATACCTTATACAGAAGAATATAACTTTGGTTTCCTTTTAAGCTTTTAAAGGTCTTTGCACAATATACAGACTGAACTGACTGACTGACTGATAAAATATGAATTACCTCCGAATCTGGTTTAGACCAAGTAGCGAGGGTGACTAGACCAACATGTTTTACTACCGCGTCAACTATTTTCGCAACAGCACTGCATTGCTAATTTGCCGTTTTATTAACCTCCCTATTCAGCATCGATGAAACGATTACGCTTCGTAAACTGTATGTGCTTATCAATCACATAAAATATGTTGTGGTAAAGTCCGCTGTGTTGGAAATTGGAATCATTTACACAAACATTCAAAGGCTCAAAGGCAAAGGACCATAAGGGATAGCGATGTCTATTATAAAGCTCTTGTAGAGTCCGTGTAATGTGCGAAGGCCTCTGTTAGTCTTTTTTTTATGTATATCATGATGATAAATTATTTCATTCAACCTTGCATACTTCACTGTAAGCCCACGAATTTTCACTATTACGGCATATCACAGAAAATTTGTTTAATAATATAACATAAAACCTTTAAAATTTTTGGCGAATTTGGAATTCTGTCTAACTTACAAGTTAGTATGTATATCGAAATATCAAAAAATAAATTAAGACGGCTGTAACTAGAAGTATAATAAATAAATACACCGTCACAGAAGTGATCTTATTAGTATTTTGGCAAATTATATTTTTACAGTACCTTATTGTTACGAAAATTGTACAAAAAGAATAAACATACAATTCTTATAAGCGTTCTTATCCAGAGATTTCCTGACTAAGGGCCATTTGCAGTATCGCAATTTTACTTAAATTACTTAATCTGATTTGGAAAAAAATAAAAAAAATATTAAACTGTCTTCTTTTTTCCGTGGCGTTTAGCCGGAATTTATGTGAAATATTGGATTTTTTAATCTTAAATAATGCCGTAAGTACCTATTTATCTTTGCTATTTTATATATCCAGATAATTGTGATAATACAGGCTTTCATATTTTCAAAAGATTATCACGAGCAAAATGATCTGAAAATTATAAACTTAACCTGAAGATTTGTTGATAGAAAAAAATAAACATTCGGCGGATTTCAATGGCGTATAATTAATAGTTAAATAATAAATTGTTATTGATTATTGATAAATTACGTCGCGTTATTAATTAAATAACCCATTTCAATAGTTAAAATCAAGTAAACATGTAAGTTAGCACGAGATTCATGTATTTTGTGACGGGTATTGTTCATTGTTTACAGCCCTTTTAATAATGTCAAATTGACATTGTCGTTTTGACTTTTCTTTCTATGGGATATATCCTGTTTTAGTTATATCCAGATAGCAAATAAAATCTGGTATAAAGTAAAACTTAGCAAAATTGCTGCAACTGGACCTCAGTGACTTATCTTAATTAATTTCGATTAGTTATCAGTTTCTTAACACCGCAGTTGCTTCAATCATCCCGTAATACTGGTTAAGTCCCATTAGCAAGCCCTAAATAAAACGGAATATATAAAAAAACCCTAACAACCAGATAAAAATATTAGTTATAAAATATAAATAATGCTACTTTTATTTTAATTAAAAAAATAAACAACCCATATTCATTTTAATATTGCACCCCCATTTTTAGTACTAATTTGCTTAAAATTAATGAATGTTCAATAAGGTAGGTAGGTAAACCTATTTAAGGTTGAAATTGAATTAATACGCCTACGCATCGTTTATTACTGTTTAAATTCCCAAAATAATCTACATTATGTTTCCATTAACAGAGCAAAAAAAAACACTTGATTAAATTTTCATTTGCGCTAGGTTACAGTCTGAAAATATTATACGACCCTCCCTTATAATATACCGGTAGCTTGTTACTAATATCACGGGTGATATTTCAGAAACTAGGACAAGTAACTCGTTTATTAAAAAAAAAAATAGATATTTCCAAGTAACTTTATTCCTAATAGAAGAAACACACATTACATTTAGAATGCGATACTATTAAATCGCAAAATACAAATATTGCAAAAGCAAGACATTAAACCAGGCCGTTTTCTTTGCTCTTGAGTGTAGATAGAAGATATACCTTGTTATGGGTGATCAATCCACACCATTACCGTAATTCATAGAATGTCAATAATATTAGTTCGTCACTATTAAGAGGAACTCAATTAACACAGTGCCCTTAAGGCAATCCATTTTAAGATACTTGAAAATAACACTCGTCACTTTCGATTGGTGTTAATAATTATTTCGTCACTATTAAGAGGGATCTCAATAAACCAAGTGCCCTTAAGGCAATACATTCTCAATAAACACAAGTGGCCCTTAAGGCAATACATTTTAAAATTCGCTAATTGAAAATAACAATCCTCACTATCGATTGGTGTTAATTGATATTCTAAGCATCTCTAAGAATTTCGAGATAACAGCAGACCACTTCAAATAATATAAACATTCCCACGAACGAAGCCCTTTTCGGGAGTGACGTCACATAATCATGACCCTTAAATAGCAAAGGCACAATGATCCTACAACTCATTCGCCTCCCGCATCGAGCGAAGGTTCACTTGGTCTATCGTAGACTATTTAGTTTAATTTAATTTAGTTTAATTTGATAAGTTAAATATTGTAATGTTTTACAAGTAAACTTTACAACAAATTTATATTTTTTAATAAGCTCCATTACCGAAACCTGACTACCTTCACCTACACAGTGTAAACAAAAATATATATAAATAATTAAAACACACCAGATTTGAATTTTACAAATAATGTTTTGTCATATAAATATCTCTAAAATATACTCGCCTGGTGCCACTGCCGGATTTAGGGGAGGGCAACCGGGGTGAAAGCCCCGGGGCCTCCACAAACGGGGGGCCCCCTCAATAGACTTCGGAAAAAAAAATCTTTCAAATTCCAACTAGTAAACATTTTTCGGTTCCGTTCGTTAACTCGAAGATTTCATTTCAGATAATCCTTGTTTCCGTTTATATTTATATGTGTTTGTTCAATACTAAGGGCATCTACTTGGTCCACAATAAATTATTTATTGAAAAACTCGACTGAAAAAAACATTATTACTTTATTTGGAAAATAATTTGGGGTGAGGGGGCCTCCGCTCCTCTGATGCCCCGAGGCCTCTGGACCTCTAAATCCGGCCCTACCTGGTGCGGAATGTACCTAAGCTCTAAATTAAAAAAATATAACGTAACTTTATTGCTTTCCAAAGCAAATGTTGTTTTTGAAGTAAAAATTTACTATATAATTCTGTGTGAAACAGTAAAGTGCCATTCTAAATGCCGCTGTATTATATGACCGTTTTCACTTTTATTTTTAGGTACTTTCTGACATCACCGACGCACAGTGGTTCGGATTTTTAAAATAGTGGACTTAGGATCAAAGTTGCAATATGCAGCAATTAAAAAATTGTAATTAATAGTAAATTAAATGCTGATTAATATTGTTTCATACTATTTTTCAAGAAAATGACTCCTTCATACTTAAAATAAATAAATACTTTAAATATTATAAATATTGTGGAAACAGTAAAGGTTTTATTTTTCGTTTTTTCCAAAAAAAAAATCGAAAGTGTCTCTTATTTTTATCATAACTTGCTCAATTTTAATACTTTTAACTTTTTACAGTGCTCATAAGAAAGATATTTCCAAGGCCTTTAAAAAGTGTTTAGAAAGTATATGCCATAAAATGCTCGGTTTCCCGTTATTAAGGTTTGAATACTTAGATTTAAGTACTCGCCGAAAAAAATATACATACAAAAACCTATAGTTCACTTTGAATGAATTTTAGAAGGTTTTTCAAAGTAGGGGTTTGTATGATTTTTTATTAGCTTCAATTTTGGTAATAATATTTTTTTTGTAAAAACTCATAGTTTTTGAGTTATTTATGAAAAACCGCTTTAAAATATGTATTTTTATCACGAAAATTACCAACCTTTGATCTTTAATGACTCAGAAAGTATTGATTTATTCTAAAAACTTTACATAACAAATTTTGCTTAGAATCTGTCTCACTATCGATTTCAGGAGTTGTTTTCATTAAAATAATTTTCACCCTCGAGAAGGGTTGGCATCTACCCCCAGGGCAAAAGCGCAAGTTGGCAATATGTCACTTTTCTTTCGCCCCCCACCTACTCACCATTTTTCATGAAAATCGATGGAGATTCAACGAAATCGGAGATGAAAACCTTCATTTACTGGACTATACATAATATGTTTAAGTACAAAATACTTCAGCAATATGTCTAATTGCGAACTTATTAAGATTTGTTTTGTTAAATAAGACATTCAAAAATATTTTTAATTGAAAACGCGTAAAATAAGTAGAGAAAGAACAGGTATGAAAATAAATAACTTTAAAATATTGCTGGCCCCAAGGCCGCAAGGATACGCACAAAATTTTGGTGTTGTTGGGTCAAGGTCAATAGCCCCTAATCACCATATGAGGTTTGACTGCTACCTTTTGCTAACCTACCAAGAAAAAAAAAAATAGATTTTCCCCCATACATTTTTTTCGTAAATATTTTTTTAAAGTATGAAGGAGTCATTTTTTTGAAAAATAGTATCAAACAATATTAATCAGCATTTAATTTACTATTAATTACAATTTTTTAATAGCTGAAATTTGCAACTTTGATCCTAAGTCCACTATTTTAAAAATCCGAACCACTGCGACGCGGGACCGCGGAATACTTCATTCCCGCGGTGTTAACCCGCACTCCCGGCACACAATAAGGGGACCGAGGTCCTTATAATGCGGGTCGGGTGACCGATTCAGGAGTATTTTCTGGTTTTTACGGTTTAAGTAGGGCCCTGCTCATTTCATCAAGCCAGTCTGGCTGAAATGAATGGGGAGGAGGAGTTCCCGGTACCTCCGCTTTGCTTCTCCCGATGTAAAGCATTTTCCCGACAAGCAAAAAAAGGTACTTTCTGATGTGTAATTACTTAAATACGAATTCAAACCTAAGATGCTTATAATAAAGTGCCATTGTTCATGTACCTAAATACAGATTCGTATCTATATCGAAGTACAAATAGGATTTGTAACCACTTCATTTATTAGCTTTTACACGCATAATGGTCAAAACTAACCTAACAAGCTTTTCGTATATTAGAAACATGAGAGCAGCTGTCATGACAGTTTGCAACAATTTTACCTCGAGTCCACGAAACAAAATGAGCGGATTAGATTTAACATCTTTAAAAAGTGGTTTTAAGCTAGTGCCAGCTCTCAACCTTGATTGTATTAATTGTACCGGATAGGTCAAAGTGGTGGCTATGGCCTTAGCTATAGCCCCAACTAAAAATGCATTGTATGTATCGAAACATTGTCTTGAAACGAGATCTCTTTTGAGCCTTTCGTATACCATAAACTGAATGGCGGGATTGGAAACTAAAAGTAATGATGGTATAGTGCCCGACCATAGTCCCTTAGCACCTTCCTGTTTAGCCACTTGTACAAGACCCCCAAAAAGGCTGCTATAAGAATTCTTTTCCAACTTCATTCTTGTATTTACGACCCATAAGGGAGATGTTAACAGCACGTTTATACTTCCAGCAACTATACCATAAAGTAAATCTTTGAGAGCCGAGTTTTCTTTTGCAGTAACTTTACGCAATGCATGGAATGCATAAAAGTACACAAAGTTCGATATTGACAATGATTGTAAAACAGGACACAACCCCTGATACAAAGATTCGAAACCTTCTTCGTTTGCCAATTTCATCAACAGTTCCCATGTAGAGCCTTGCAATTGTATGGAGTCTTCAACTGCAAATATTAAAAAAAATACAATTAATACATAAGTATCTTTATTAAAATAGTTATAAGAGCTTCAAATATATCATGAAAATACATATTTGTTCAATGATAACTTATAACCAGAGATGTGACTTACTTATCTGAGATAAAAGTATCTAAGATACAGATACAAAATACGTATTTGTATCTAGTATTTCAAATACTTTTTTGAAATTTATTTTGTATCTTGTATTTAAATACTTTTTTCAGTATCTTAGTATTTTGAAGATACTTTTTTTACTAAGATACTTTTTCTTTTATACCTAATTTTCAACAGTTTTGTAAATTAGCGCGTGACTATTCTAAGCCTCAGTGCATTACTTTTCTATCAACTTTATTCACCGTCAAAAGAAAATCGTTAGTTCATATGTTGCCGTCTCGTTCACCTAATTGTTATGGGTTAGGTGGTAGTGAACAATAAATAGGTAACTTTCCCTAAAATTCGTTATTTTTGTTAGCATTCACTAGAGGAAGAAGAGTCGTTTGAAATTTGTGTCAATTTTCTTCGGTCTGTTTTGTAATGGAGTGAAATGAAGATAATAATCAGGTTATTTTTACAAATAATTAGAGAGAGAGACCAGAGCTTATCAATGATATCATCTATTGAACATGACATTCGTAAATACTGCATATTATTAATAATCGCGGTCACTCATCCCCAACCCAACCAATCGTAAACAACCTGCATATTATTAATAATCGCGGTCACCCATCCCAAACCCAACCAATCGTAAACAACCTGCATATTCATAATCTTGGTCACGACCAATCATAAACACTGCATTTTCAGAATCTCGGAAAAAAATACACTGAAACTATCATTCATTCATAGTCCTTGATAAATATTGATGAAATGTGAATGCAAGTAAAATCAATCGTAAGATGATGATGATGAATTTGATGATTGGAAGAACAGCAGCCACGTCTTTAGGTTCATGGCCTAACAGTTTTGTTATCAAAAAATAGGCACAGCGGACTGGCTATATTGCTAACATGTTTTGATTCGAAAAGTATCTTTATCTTAAAAAAAGTATTTTGAAAATACATATCTTGTATCTGGTATTTCAAATACTTTTTCCAAAAGTATCTTGTATCTGTTATCTAAATACTTGACTACCTGGTATCTGGTATTTTGTATTTAAGATACTTTTTTTAATGTATTTTTTACATCTCTGCTTAAAATGCAGATGGTCTAAGTTTGTTCATACCCCACAAAAAATCAAAAAAATCTCTTTGGTGGTATCATGTGAGGTGGGTTGTTAACATTCCCTTAAATATGTTTGAGCAAAGCAATGGCTATGCGTCATGCTCGAGGACTAGTGCGTCTGTAATAAGTATGTAATGCGTCTGCTCCTATACTTTATCATTTAAATGAAATCTAATTATCCTTCTTTACTTATATTATAAAAGGCGAAAGTTTGTATATGTTTGTAACTCAATTACGCAAAAACGGCTGAACGGATTAGGATGAAATTCGCCACACATATAGTTTATTACCTGAATTGACATATAAAATACTTTTTATCTCAGAAAAAAAATAGGTTTCTGAGGAATTTGATCTAAAATTAACGCGGCCGATGTCGTGGGCGACTGCTACTACCTAGTATCAAATAACTAGATTTGTAGTTATCAAAATGCAGATGAACAATATTTAATATTGGTAGTAGTTATAACATAATTTTATTCTAATGTTGCCTACTTAATAATGAGTTCTTTTAACCAATTCTTCTTATCAGCTTAAAAATGTAAATACCTATGGTAGTGGGACTAATGATCGACATTCCCTTCCGAACCCGATCATTAAATATGGTAACACCCAACATCAACAGCTCGGTGTTATCACACTCAGCAAAAGGCCACCCACTCTTATTTTAATTGACCACAGAAATAATGATGAGCACTGGCTCCTATCATTTATTGGTTACATTGTAATAACTTTTTATTATATCATTTATTAACCTTGTATTCTTGATCGTAAGGTATCCAATGGATAAAACGCAGTCATACCAATTACACTGCCCTGAAAAGAAGAAACAAATGTGTTAAAATTTGTTGGTCACTAGGGTATTTTGGTTGTATCAACAAAAATAAGTTTGTCTATGCATTCAACAATAGTTTTATGAACATTCATTAGCGTATATTCAGATTAAAATCATATAATAATGGGCCATTTAAATGCAAAATTAAGTTATAGAAACGAAGGCCAATGTAGCATAACCGGGCCATACACCATAACCAATTTTTTTTTCAAAATTTTTGATGCACGTGTTTCGGAGCTAAGGGATAATATTTTCTTACATAATATTGAAACTTAATTTTACATCTGTAAAAGAAATATATTTGAAACCTTCGCATTGAGCCTTTCCATTTGTCATATAAAACAGTACAATTAGCAAAATTTTTATTTTTAAGCATTTAACCTCTCGTTTGGTCGTAAGACCTCGCCTTTCCCACACGTTGTTAGCTTGCCGCACTTCAATTTCTACAGACAACAGTACAAACATATCGTATTACAGTTGACTTATTCAGAGGCTAGCTAGCTTAGAGCTTAGAGTTAACTGCAACTTGTTTAAATCTAAAAAAAAGTTTACTAGAAAAAATTCCATGTGGGAAATCTCTATTTTCTGAATCACTCCCCAAAATTAATCCCCAGATTTTGAATGTATTTATTTTCATTATTCATCTGTGCTCGGGTCTCAGACATATTGTATGTATCAACTACTCAGTCCAGTTAAATTTGAGAAAATGCACTGTGAGAGACAGACAGAAAACCAAGTGATAATAAAAGGGTTCCATTTTTGTTGATTGAGGTAACCCTAAAAATCAAGAAATAAGAAGGAGAATTTCAACTCTGCGGTTAATTTTATTAGCATACAGCATTAGATTATTAGTTATTATTAGATTAGTATTAGTAGCATATAGATATTTTCCACAACAAAAATCACCTAATGAGACAACTGTAGGATTTGCTATAGTAAAATCTTACTTCTGAATTAGATAGCTCCAATTTTAGACATTACATGCATTATGCAATAGTTGTTGAAGTACCCAGTAATACATTATGACAATTGTCAAAAATCTGAATAAATGAGATTGTAAGTAAGACTGCATCTTACAAAATCAACATACTGTCCATATGTATTCCCAGATATTTTTATTCTTCACTAATTGTTAAAAAGTTGAGAGCTCAGTTTCATTTGTAGGCAGTTATAGTTTCTAACGGTGAATATTAGGTTGAACTGATTTTGATGGACTTAGTTATTTTTTATGATTATTAAGTATAAATTAAATTTTTATTTGGTGATTCCGGCTGAGAAGCTTTGATGGCTCATAGTTAAAAGGTTTAATCTTTAAACTCTGCTGGTCAATGCTGTGTTTGCCGTTGTGATGATTGAGCAACCAAGGGCCAATCAACATAATAACCAGAGTTCATCAGTATTTTGGTAAAACTTGCTAACCAGTTGGTCGGCAATGGCCTCCGAGGTGGATATACCTGGGCATACCTGTTTACCATAGGTCATTGTGTCATGGGAAGGCCTGATTCGTAGCAGTAGCAACAGGATTCTGATTATTCAGTATTACATTAATCAATTTGTTTTTGTACTATGAATATACCTACCAATCTTGTATGGACAACGTAAAACGTGGAGTTTGTAACTTATTGGTAAAAAAGGAGAATTCACATACAATTTCTATCTATAATGGTAATTTAATTAGACATACCGCAGCTCCAGCAATGGCGTGAACCAAGGTGTCGTAGCTAAATAATGAAGTCGGCATTTTTCTTATGTCGAACAGTAGTATTATAAAGCGACCGACTTTAGATTTACTAACTAGTTTCTTTCATGCACTGTTCAATCCTCAGTATAAGTTATTAATTCGAGGTTCAATCAATTCAATCAACTTTTGTTTATCTTTTCATTTTTGAGAGAAAGAGATAGAAAATTAGAGAAATTATGTCTATGAGGTGGGTTACACGATCAGTTTGGAATCAGTTCAGTCTATCAGCTAGTAAGACTGACGTCAGACTGATAGTATAATACGTTGACTGATAGGTCAGACAGACTGACAGAATAATATTCACACAAAGACTTTATATAATACCTAGACTGTGCACGAAAAAAATTAGTTAATCTAAAGTAAGATTTATATATGTAGTAATAGGATAGCTATTATCTTGATAAGCGGTCGCTAGTAAAAACGGTCCTGAGTGAGAAAGCACCCAACGGTAGTGTGTCCCTTTCTAACGTCTTGCCAGCTCAATTTATCATTGGATTTGGTAGAAATGGTAAAAAATGTCATCCTTTTCTATTTGTGATTTACTGATTAATTACCGATATGAACGATTCGTAAACTATGAAACGTATTTAAACATTTCTACAGTTCCTATAAATAATAAAATAATCATTGATATTTTTAAAATAAATCTAAATACAGAGTAAAAGTAGTATTTAATTAGTTGAGCCTAGTAATACTGAATGTCAGATGGTGATTTGTTCACTTGATGACAATGACAATGATGACACTTGATGACAATTTGATTTGAAATATTGTAAATTTGCTTAATAAAGTGTATTTTTTTAAAATGGTGAACTCGTGTTGTGTAACAGGATGCTACAATGAATCTTATTCCGGTAGCCCTTTTTCTTTTCACGGGTAAGTAAAACTTACAATCATATTCATTAGGTGAACCATGATTTTTGGAGGTAGATGTGTTTTTTTTTCTTAAGATGAGTTGTGTCAATTTAATGAATCAATTATTAAATAATGCGGGTGCGGTTATTTCCTTGTTTCGTAGGTACTTTTTAGAGCGTTTTTAGATTCGTATCATCATCATCATCAGCCTATTAATGTCCCCACTGCTGGGGCACAGACCTTCCCTATGGATGGAATAGGGAGATTGGGCCATGACCCACCAGGCGGGCCCAGTGCGGATTGGCGGGTGCTAACGACTGCAGATGCAGTCGGGACCAACACCTTACCCACTCCTTAACGTGCCTTCTGAAGCACGGAGGAACTCGAGATAGATGTTTTTGGTCACCCATCCAATAACCGACCACTGCGAAAGTTGCTTAACTTAAACCATCCAGCCGAACGCGCTAACCACCTGCGCCATCGAGCTCCTCGCAAAAATAGTTAAAAAAAAAAAAAAACTTGTATTGTGTAGATTTCCGAAGAACGAAAAGCAGAAATTGATGTGGGGAAATGCAGTGCCTGGAAAAAAATCCGATGAATCTCATGAATTGGAATTGATTAGATGTATTGGTCAAAAATACTTAAATTTAAGACTTAGAAGCTACGGGAAGTCCTTAACCCTTGAGCACGTAGGACATAAGGCTACATTGCGACAAAAACTGCGCAAAACTATATTATTTAGCAATTACGTAAAATAATAAGTTTTTGTCGATGTAACAGCAAAAAAAAGGTGCCAAAATCAGGTATTGGCATTTATGTTAAATTAATGGTAAGTCTGATGATACATTTTTGTTTCTTAGGTTTTCACGCATATCACTCATTAAATTAAACTAGTTTTTCACGGGTTAATGCACGAAACTTTATTTATTTATGCAGCCTTTACAGGCCGCGTCGTCGAAATTTGTCATCATACAAAGACTTAGAGTAATTTTTTATTACAGTAAGTCTTTGTATGATGCACTTAGCAAGTTAAAAAATACGCCATATAGTTTTTATTTTAACTCATAATCACAAATTACTTACATGTTTAGACAGTAGCAGATACTAAACACAATCCTCTTTACAAGCTATATTTAATAACAAATTTTGTCCCGCGTTACGCTTGAATATGGTCACTTCATTAGAAAGAAACACACTACCATTGGAAGCCCTCTCGCCCGGACCGTTTTTAATGCGATGGTGCACAGTCTAGGTATTATATAAAGTCTTTGTATTTACATCAGTCCGGAATGGACTGATGGAAATCTGATCGTGTGACACGTTGCCGTCAGTCTCCCGTCAGTCACCGCTAGGACAGCGATGGATGAACACAGCGAAAATGCGTACGCGCCGCCCGCGCCTTTGGTTCCACGAAGTCCCTAGACTTCGAGACTTTTAATAATAACATTTGTATTGAGTTAATTTCTGGAAAAACGTTTGAATAAAAAAGCACTTTTTAGTAAAAATCAATATTTATTAAACATAAAATAAAAACCTAATATTTTTTTACGTTGAGTTCAGTCTAAATAATTAGTATGTTTATTTCTTAGAATCAATTATTCACTTCTGTGCAATTAAATCCTATAGATATATTGTAAGTAACAATCATACTAATTCTTAATAACTATTATTTAATATCTACTAGCTGTCTCAGCGAAATTTGTACCGCCATGAAAAATAGGGGTTGGTGGTAGAAGGGTGAAAATTTAGGGTAGTATGCATTTTTATATGATGTATTATAATAAAATAAAATATATTGTTTTAAACTTTCATGGTCACTAACATTATAGTAATATAAGTTATTTACGGGATTGTTACCATGTACCTTGTTTTTAGCGAGTTTCCGATATTTCGGCACTGTTGCAAGCGCCATGATCACGGAGTAACTGAAGTAATTGCGGGTAGGCTGTTATTGGCAGACATATCGGTCTACCCTCCGACGAAGTCTTTTATTGCGTTCGATACCCTACCACTGTTCACATTCTCACTATTCACTCGAAACTGTTCTCGACACACAACACTTATAGTATCGGATCGCGACACGACACTTTTTTGATTATTTCCGGTTTTACACATACAAACCACAGGATTCCAGACACTCGACAATTTAAACCCGTCCTCACGATTGAAATTTTTATGTTTTGTTATTTCAATCGCTTCCCTGACCAATCTTGGTATGTAGTGGCATTTTGTCGAGATAATCTGTGGGTTATGAAACTCAATCCAGTGGTTAGGACCAGAATCAATCAAACGTTCCGCGATGGCTGATTTCTGCGTATCGTTGTTCTTGATTGCTTTTATGTGTTCCCTCATTCGGCATGATACTGTTCGCTTTGTTTGGCCAATGTACGAACTGCCACAGCTGCAATCGATCTTATAGACACCAGGTTTCTCCAATCGGAAGTTGTCTTTAGGAGACCGTAGGTATTGTGAAACCTTTCGCACAGGAGTGAAGACAGTGTTTGGTGAGTACTTATTCAGTATGTTTGAGATCTTGTCAGTCACTCCTTTGACGTAAGTGACTAAAAACAAGGTACATGGTAACAATCCCGTAAATAACTTATATTATTATAAAAAAAAAAAAAAAAATTGCGCATAAAAAAAATAAGGGTGGACCACCCTTAACATTTAGGGGGATAAGAAACCGATTGTTCGATTCTCATACCTACTGAATATGCATATAAAATTTCACAAAATCGGTCGAGCCGTTTCGGAGTACATAGTTCAATTGACATCGTGACACGAGAATTTTATATATTAGATTTAGTATTTGGTCCTAATGATAACATTCGTAATTCTCATAGTCACAGATTTGTTTCGTATTGAAATAAACAAAATAAAAAACAGACTTGTAAATCAGTCATATACATAAATTAACAAATTAAAATTAGACTTCAAAAATTAAATTCATAATCCAAACGGCACAGAACAAATATAATGTCGGTAGTTTAGTAGTTTTTTATATTGATCCATGGCTTTTCGCGTAATACGGTCACATGCGACTAGGCCCGTATTACAGAATGACAATTAAGTGTTGATCTTTACTTGAGTACAGTTAGAAAGGGATATCGCTGTGTGCTTTATATAGCGACATCCCTTTCTAACTAACTATGCTCAAGACTAGATCAATCACTGAGATCTTTCTATAATGCGCGCCTAAGTTCTTGGGAAGACTGTCATCAGTCTGGACTGGACTGACCGTGTAATCTGTCTATCAGTCCATCAGTCTGCTATCAGTAAGGATTGTTGGACTGAACTGATGCCACTGATCCTGTAACCCCTCTATGGAGAGGTTATGTCAGTCAGACAGCTGTCAGCTCAGTCCTTTTCATAGAATAGTTTGTGGTCACTGAGCGTAAACAAACATTCACTGTTTAAAAACATTTGAAATTATTAATATTTCTCTGTAATTATAACATTGAAAGAAGCCTAAGCTTACGTTTAATCGTCTCCATCGAAAGTTTTTTATGTCCAGAGTAATCTCGACAAAATTAAAACAGGTTTTTTGATACAGAAAGCTACGGTGGTTTACTGCGATTAAAAGCGATAACTTATAGAAAAATACTAAAAGTTAATTCACGGAATCATCATGCGTGTCTTTATGGCAGAGGATAATTTGTGTGCTCAAAATCTTCTAAAATTAGTATCACATGGAAATGCAATAGTTGCTGAAATTTTACGCCTTAAAGATCACAAACCTGCTGTTTATCTGTAAGTATAAAATTCAATATTCAAGTAGGTTTAAATTACAATTTAGGAGCTCGATGGCGCAGGTAGCTAGCGCCAGAATTAACCCCATTACATAGATTAAAACTTCTTGAACAGTAGGCCTATTCACTGTTTTTGCAGATGGAAGTGATAATCACAAAGCTAATTAGTGAACCACTACTGCTTAATATAATGTCACTTAGATACTTTTCTGAAAGGCAACATTGGATATGCAATTTTATCTTTAGTTACACACTGTAAATGTAAAGAAGTTAGTGAATGGACCAGCTGGTATAAAGTGCCCCTTTTTTCTTGTGATCATCAAAGGGTCTGAAATATTAATAAAGTAATAAAAACGCACACTCAGACTACCTGTTCAAAAAATAAATATTAAATGCTGTTTGTAAAGTCATAACAAATAAATATTCATAAATTGTGAAAATCTAATCATAGTTGTTAAAGATAATTTAAAACTTTAATTAGGGTGTCTATACATAAATATATTAGGCATATTCAGTAATATTATTGTAATTATCATTAAATAAATGTGGTTAGGTTATTTTTACATAGCTGTCGGTAGTATGTCTGAATCAATCTGGTTGCTAAAAGAATGATTTTGTGCAGTGTGATCTCAACACAGTAGATCTTATTTATAATCATAAAACTTAGTTTCGTAGAAGATTTTTTTTGAAGTGAGTAGGATTCTCCTTTACACTGCATGGTCATTAGCAGCAGTGTGAAGTGGCTTTAAAGTATCCTGAGAAAACAGTACAAAAGATTTTTACAGTACCTGCCTGCAAAATGTCAAATTGCCGATCTGTATCAAAGTCAAAACTATGAGATCTATAGATACATAAGTAGATTCACATATGTCGAAAAAAATACAAGATCTATAAGATCATACATAATGTTGTACCAGTGTAAATACAACCATAACCATATTTGTGTCTCTAAGGAATAGGAGGGTAGGCTGTGCAGTTTCTAAAATCTGATGAACTGCATATATGTTGGAGTGCCATCCTCTTATGTTGCAAAAAAATATTTACAAGTTGGATTATGAAGCTGCTGTACTTTTCTTTTGTTTTTTGATTGGCCATAATTTTAAGCAACCAAGCAAAATGAAGATGGACAAGTCAATATTTTACAGAAATCAGATATAGGCCGAAACTTTATGAAGATGAATCTATCAGACACATCCAGCAGATGGACCGTCACAAAACAAACGGTATTTCCGGCAACTGTTATGGTATTTCTCATTTATTCAGACATTGTAGTCTGCTAGTAACAGCTTCATAAAAATATAACTAATTTGTATCCACATTGTAAGGTAAAAAAATTAAAAAACTGTGTAACTATTTATCTATTTAGTTATTTCAAAAAAAGAACGAAAAAGGCTGGAGATGGCCGGTTGATGGTAGCCGATTTTAGCTTCTCAGCTTCCATTTAAAGTGAGAGTTGTAACGGGCGCCGGGAAGCTGGTGACATCTCCAGGTGTCCGGAATAACTTACGGGAACATCAGCTTTTAATCTCAAAGGCAGTTTTGACTAGGGTTGAATGATAAAGGTGTTTTCTTCTTCAATTATTTATTGTGAAAGTGTACATACCAGATTGGATTCCAGGCGTCAAAGTACATTAAGTATTGGATTTACTTAGACTATTATGGCTGGTCCATGGTCAAAGATATCAAAATGATATTTATAAAGATATCATTAAAATTAAACATGAAGCTAAAGAAATTAAGGGTTATAAAGACCACTTAAAGAGTATAAAGAGCTGCAATCGCAGCTCTTTTAAAGTTTTACTAATGGGCCATTGGCACCAATATTAGTTTGCACAAATGCGATGAGCGCATTTTTGGGAAAAGAAACCGAACTATAAATTATTATTATATTTCACATTTTTAAAAAAGTGACTAGTCGTGTCTGCAAAGAATCGAAAAGTGATGTTGCCAGGTCGCACTTCCAAAAACGCCGCGAGTCTCAGTGTTGGCGCATTAAAATTTAAATTTGGGCATGGACTAAAAAGTTTACTTAAATTTAGAATGACAATTATTACGTATTTATTTTAATGTTTTATAAAATTAAGACAATTTTTAATGATGTGTTTCGTTTATTAAAAAAAATAGGGAAAATCCTTAAGTGACGGATGTCAAACCATATATTATTTATTTATGTATGTGACGGCGTAGATACGACGTTACAACATAATGAAAATAAGAAAACGAAGACAGTTCCGAAGATGACTGAGCTGAAAAGTTAAAACTGACTTGAAGCCTCAGGCCTGAAGCAGGCTTGCACTTCAGGAATCACTGAAAAGAGCTAAAGAAGGCCTGTGCCAGAAAACGAGCTAAGCTAGAGTAGATCCCAGTTGCAATGAAATAGAGAAGAAACAAGAATGCCAAGAAGAGGAAGATAAGAGAGTTAAAGATCATTAGATACTTGTTGTGAAAGGCATCAATGGATAAGCAATTTTTGGATAAAGGTGTAAAGAATTTTACTAACAGTTAAGATATTTAGAAACTTTAAACCAAAGTAAGATTATTCTATTGACAATAAGGAATAAGCGGCCCTGCATGGAATGTTGCTCGCACTTCTCTGGGACGGCTCCGCCAAGTACTTAATCGAGTATCTTTGGATAGCGGAGCGTGACCCTTAAACACTTCAATTATGCCATGATGTGGCGTTTAACGACGCCACGAAGTGCGTTCTATCGTCAATACCACGGCGAGTGTTGTAAGCAGTTATATTGTTCTAATTGCTTCCCCTTTCCTTTAGAGAACCACGCGCCCTGACCTACGATGTCACTGACTTACTGCGGCCACTATTCCAATGCGAACAAAGACATTGGGAAACTTTGTCGCACTATTGAGGTGATGGGAGAGTGTAGGTGGGTGTGGGGTGGACTGCAGAGAGATAGAAAGTGGTGATGATTTAAGGCGTGGGCGCTCTTCTATTTTGTCGGAGCTTGAACTTCTGATGAACAGCTTCTAAAGAAGGTCGGTCGATCGACCCCAGGACAAGACATAAAACCGGCGCTATAAAACAATACAATGAAAATAAGCCATTTTACGATTTTTGTAGTAAAATGGCATATTTCACGGTACACATCGCACCAAGGTGATATTTGGCTGTCTCTTTTGCCAGGGAAAGATACTTTCCCATTCGAGTCGCTTATTATGGAGTGTCAGTCCGCTCAACTCTACTACATGCCGTGTCACTTTTTTGCACCACCTAGAGCCACGTTCAGGATCTTGGCCATAAGGGTAAACTACAGACGCGACTACTTCAAAAAAATCGCACCTCACACAGTGCTAAGCATTCGTGAACCATCATAAGCTTTCTGGGTCAAATGCATTCGCATCAAACCATATTTGTACGTATGTTGTCCACCTTCTTATATGTTGAATACTTTACAGATGTAGATGCTGTATTGTATCTATGAGGTCTAATAAGGTAGTAATATCGAGAAACTTAAAGAGACTAATAGTTTTAGCTTGACAAAATGCCTATGGGTCTGTAATTAGCAGTCACTAGGCTCAGTCTCGTATATTGGCACAATTGTTTTGAAATAAAATCTATTGCAAAGATTTGTTAAAGTTAATATGGAGTGGCAAGCATAAGGCAGAGAAGACACCTCGTTAATAAAAATAGGGGGAATGCTGTCACGGCTAGAACCCTTAATTGCGGATAAGGCTAATAGTAGGTGGTAATTATGTATCGACTTACGTTGTAAAGTAACCTTAACATCAGTTCAATCTCTCACACAGCGGCAGAATGTCCATTGAAATACTTATGGTACGAAACAGAAGGGATTTTTATTATAATAGCTCAGCAGCTCTGCTTGTCCACTTTCGCTATATCTCACCGTAACAACTGCCGATGGGTATTTTTATGCTCTTTCACAAAGTTTTGCATCTAAACCATTGCCCAACATAGTAACGTCACGTGCATGTGATTGGTATTCCTCCTAACCTCAATATTTATATTATTATTATTATTGACGTGTAATTTATTACGAAAAAATTGATTATGATTATGTTTTCTAGTTATTGTTAATTTAATATATCTTTTCAGTTTAGAGACTAAAGATGCACACCACAAATATCAGGATGTCATCATGGATTTTAGTTACTTTAAAGTATCTGAGGTGCAAGAAAAGAAAATCCTTTCAACAATGGTAAAACATAAGACTTAGTTACTTACCTAAATATAAAAAAATACATATTTTAAAGGAAATATAACTAGAAAAAATTCCACGCGGACCAGGCACCAGACGGGACTCGAACCCGCACTCTTCGCAATCCGGGCGAATGCACTGACCAATTATGCTACCGCGGCCCTCACGGACCGCGTCGAAATTCTTCTAGCCATTTTTAAGCTGCAAGGCAGCGCCATCTCTTCGCATTATAGGTAACCCACAATGTCAAAAAAATACTTTTACAAGTCTTAAACATTTGAAAGAAGAAATAGCAATTATAGTTATAATTTTTATTATTTTAAAACATGTAACTGCTTGATGTTTAATGCAGCAGACGGGACTCGAACCCGCACCGGGCGAATGCACTGACCAATTATGCTACCGCGGCCCTCACGGAACGAGTCCAAATTCTTCTAGCCATTCTTAATTATTTAATTTAATTTTTTTTATTTATTTTCTTTACATTTTAACATCAAGCAGTTACATGCTTTAAAATAATAAAAATTATAATTACATATTTTTCTTAAAATGTATCATATTTATAATGATATAATTTATTACTTATTATACTTATATTTAATACTTGTCGTATAATATTCACCCATAAAATATTTATTTAGGTATTAAATAAAATTCAATTGATCTAAATATCGCCAAATATCACCCCGTGCCCTTTCTGGCGCAAGGGTGCCCATTATGCATGCAGCATTGCCATGCTGGATGGCAATAGACAGTATTTGTGCAAGAAACGACCTGGAGCGAACTTCTTAAAATAATTCAATTTCAACTAAAATTTTTGGTCAGGTGTAGATAAAATATTAAATGTATTTTAATATTTTTAGAAACTGCAAGATTTAGACGATGATTTAAAAGAAAAATATTTGGAGATAATCAATCGTTTTTATTTGCTGTTTGAAAATATTTACCAATACATAGTGGATCTGAATACTTTTATTGACCAACTTCATGACGGGGCTTTTATACAGCAAAGCATTGAAACAGTCATGAGAGATATCGAAGGAAAACAATTGTTGGTAAATAATTAAAAGTATTTTTTATGACATGCTCGTATCAAATTTCTCAGTCTATTGAACTATGATTCTGTGTTTATGATGAGATTAAATCTGGCAAACAGTGCTAGCTAGTCATAGTAAAAACATCAACATCTTATATTTCAGAGTGAATCATTGTATCTTTATGGTGCAATGTTATTATTATGTGACCTTTATATATCTGGTCCTGTGAGAGAAAGGCTACTTGTTGCATTTTATCGGTATAGTACAAGTCAGTCACAGTCCAATGTTGACGATGTTTGTAAATTATTAAGAGATACTGGATATAATCAACAACAATGCAAAAGACCAACTGATTACCCAGTTGAATACTTTGGGTAAGTTGTTACTAATTCCATTGATGAATAATTCACTGTATATATCTGTTACTGGAAAGCTGTTAATTCCGATATTTTATAGAATACCTATTATTTAGCCAACGAGATTTATATATTTTATTCTTAGATTAAAACAAAAAGGGAAGATACGGTATGCTCATACTTGCATCAAATAAAATATGATCAGACTCAACTACATAAGCAACTCTCACACACGCACACGTCTGTATATATAAACATTTAATCGAGCGAGCAAGACAGAACTGTACGGTTCAACGCAGCGCGAACGAAACTGCGAATTCGCTTCCGAATTTTTACGGCTGAGCTGTATTGTTGTCCTTTTCTTGATAACAAAATGGCGATTACGAAAATAACATTCACGACAAACCGTGATTTATGAGAAAAAAATATTTTTACAGTTTTACGAATGAAAAGTGTTGCCTATAGAACTATCTGTGTTCTTTATAAAAGCATCGAAGGCATTGTTTTATCTTTATAACACAGAATATACGCAATATTATTATATTGAGTGCACATGCAGCGTGTTTGAATGTTAAATTGTGACTAAAGAAAATTGTGGTTATGCACTACAATTTAACCGGATCACTTTTGAGCCGCGAATGCCGTATCTTCCCTCTTGGTTTTAATCTAAGATTTTATTCTATATTTCGCCTAAATATATAGAATAACGAGTGGTCTGCCAGAAATGTGTTAAAAATACTGTCTTTTAGATAGCACTCATTACTTGCTTATAAGAGATAGTATATCTAAAACTGTAATCGACTCGCTGAAGTTAATTCCTCTTCTTACGCTACGAAGAAGAAGCCGCCAGTGTTTCTTTATCGTGTGTCACGTCTATCTTGTAGTAGTTTATCTACTGTATTTCATTTCAAAAATCTTAAATTTGACCCTGTTTCCTTATTTTATTCGGTAACCATATAACTTGCCATCACTTCAGCATTGCGGAGACTAGAAATATTGTCCATTATATTAATAAACTGTTTGTTTCTTAGGTTTTCACGCACATCACTCATTAAATAAAACTAGTTTTTACGGGTTAATGCACGAAACTTTATTTATTTATTGACGTTTCGTAGCCATTACAGGCTTCGTCGTCAGAATAAAACTTTTATTCAATTTGTCGAGCTACCTTCGAAAGACTTTTATTGAGCGTTTGGTTATTTCATTGTTCGATTTTTAAGTTTTATTGTCTATGTATAAATTTATTATTTAATTTACTTAATAAAGTATTTTATTTCAAATTCTTTTTTGTAATTTTGAGTTTATTTATTTGACCCTAACTACCGTAAACTACCACCGGTTCCAAAATTGGGAGACCTTTCTGAGAAGAACCGGCGAAACAAGCTCAAGAGAGGCTTTCTATCTCCTTCTTATGTTAAATTATACAAACAAAAAGAACTAATAGTATCTGATGGTCTTGCAGTGTGTGCTCGGGGTTGGGATTTTATCTCCTGTATAATAGGTTCCCAAGCTGGTGGTATATACCAACCATCTTCCCTATTGAAATTTGGATATTTTTTAATCTCAATAGCCTCGCGGATCATTCGGCTGCATCATGCAGCTGAGCGGCGGTTCGTTCCTCGACCAAACGCTCAATAAAATAATAATAATATTTCTAACACTCACACCAATTAGCCTAGCCCCAAAGTAAGCACTATAAGGCTTGTGTTATGGGATACTAGGGTAACGGATAGAATACATATACTGTACATATATAAGTATATTTATATAGAATTACATATTAAACATCCATGACTGGAGTACAAATGTTCATATTCATCACACAAACATCTGCCCCCACCGGGATTCGAACCCGGGACCTCTCGAGTCGGCGACGCCATGAAACCCGGCGTACAAACCACTCGGCCATGGAGGTCGTCGAAAGTCTTTCGAAGGTAGCTCGACAAATTGAATAAAAGTTTTATTCTGACGACGAAGCCTGTAAAGGCTACGAAACGTCAATAAATAAATAAAGTTTCGTGCATTAACCCGTAAAAACTAGTTGTATTTAATAAACTGTTGCTTTACTGTATGCGGTAATGATTAAATTCATTACTTCGATATTTATCTTTATTATTTTTGGTTCAAAATTACTCGCTGTACTTTTGATCTATTGTAGCGTAGCTGGTGCATGCTAGGTTGGGATTTTACTTTTCTTGATATGTTGTTGTGATGAGCATCAATAATTTATTTATTCCCAGTATATTAACATTACTTTTATGTATTATTTTGTTCTAAGTTACGAAATAAAATAAATGATACGAGAGAGGTATATGCTTAGAGAACATTTTATGTTTTTTTTTTACAGTCGAGTACCCATTCGAGCAGATTTTTTAGAGAAAGTTATAGGCAAACTTAGATCGGAAGATATCTACAACCAATTAACTGTATATACAATACCAGAACACCAAGCTTCAGCATTAGCTACTCAAGCGAGTATGCTTGTTATATGTTTATTCTTTACGCCACACTACTTACATTCAGATACATCCAAAATGCGAGAAATTGTTGATAAGTTCTTTCCCAGTAACTGGATTATACCCGTTTATATGGGGGTAACCCTAAATCTAATCGATTTTTGGGAAAACTTTAAAGCAGCTAAAGCAGCTCTTCTTAATACTTGTAATAGTAAAATGGTGAAGTCAGTTTTTAATAAACGAGGCATTTCAGTGCCGATGTTGCTTAACAAAACACACCAGCTATTAAAAGAAGGCACCATGACCGAAGACTTCGTTTTGGATAATATTAGTAAAATACTGAATCTGTTACTGAATTCTAATTTAGTTCTGCGTTGGTTGTTGTTGCATAGCAGTGATGTAACTTTCTATGATAATAGTAGAAAAACCAAACAGCTGAAGGATCTGGTGCAGAAGGAATCTAACTACGATCCACTGAAATTGTTAGAGCTGCTAATAAGCACTGCAGAATTGGAATTAAAAGTAAGAGAGATGTTAAAGAAATTGCTTGATAACAGATGTGACTCTTGGAATAACAACAAAGCTCTTGCTTTAGATGCCATCAATAATTTGTCGGAATTATTTTCTGGAGCTAAACCGATCACTAAAGTACAAGAAAACGAGCAACTTAAGCTGTGGTTTGATAATATTGCTAAAGAAATAATGTCGTTGAGTGATACAATTACAACAAAATCGATAAAGAACATAACGCAGTTAATACAAGCCTTAGATGAAGTGGAAGAATTTCACGGTATAAAAAGTACTTCGACTATTGTGCAGTTTCTATCGGAGAGTAAAGAATCACTCAAAAATGTTTTGAGGACAGCAACCCTTAAAGAAGATTCTTTGGTTACTCTGGAGACCGTAGCGGATGTAAGCTATGCTTGGTGCATAATCGATTCATATACCAATTATATGCAAGATAGCATTAAAGAAAATCCCGCTGTTACTAGCAGACTGAGAGCACTGTTTCTTAAACTGGCAAGTGCTATGGAAATTCCATTGCTTAGAATAAACCAAGCTCATAGTGATGATTTAGTGTCTGTATCCCAATATTATAGTAACGAATTAATTAAATATATACAAAAGGTTTTACAAATAATACCAGAGATGGTTTTTAGCATAGTCGAGAAAATTATTGACCTTCAAACTTGGACGCTCAAAGAAGTGCCTACTCGCTTAGAAAAGGATAAATTGCGTGAATACGCTCAATTGGAGCAAAGAATGGAAGTAGCTAAGTTAACCCATTCTGCGTCCACTTTCACTACTGGTAAGCGTTTGCTCTTTTTATTATAACCCGTTTTTTTTTATCTTAAAAGGGTGGCAAAGAAACTTATGGGCCGCCTTATGGTAAGCGGCCACCATATCCTATAGAGATAGGTTGCCTACCCTGACCCCATCCCCTACCCTGTGGAGCCTTGGAACCGTACTCACTGACAGAAAGACAATACCACTAAAAAGTAGTGTTATATTATTGTGGTATTTTGTTAGGTGGAGGTTACTTCCCCAGACGGACGCTCTATTTCGAGCGGGAAATCCAATATGCCCTACCTCTCTTAAACCGTTTTATTGGATTCCCTACTAAGAATAATAATTACCATGGCTTGAAAAGTGTAAAGTGAAAAGAAAGTTGCAATAGGGAAGATGCAATATTTTTATTTTTGTTTTCATTTTAAAGAATTCCATGTAGAATAAACCACAGATATATTAAAAAATTGGAAAAAATGCGGTTTTAAATTGACAATTTCAATTTTCGCGCGAAAACGAACCCTAGATGCGATGACGTCACTCCTGTCTGTCACTGGTCGTAATTGTTCGTTGCTGGCTTTAAATTTTCATACTTTTGCATATTTTTTCGACTTTCGAAATATTTTTTTGGAAAATTCAAAATGTATCCATCCATCAACATCATGTGATCATAACAATACCACTAATATTCCGAAAAAAAGCCGTGTTGACTCATGTTTTGTGCCAATCTACTTCAACAAAGTTCCCAAATAAATTGTTTTTGACTGGAACTTCTGACCCAAAACTGAAAAAAAGTGGTTTCAAGCTGCGAAGAGAAATGACAATTATTCTCCAAAGACCATTATTCGATGCTGAGAAGATCACTTTGACGTAAGTCGGCGAATATACTTGTTATATGTTTAATTAACTGCTTGTACGTAAAAACGCATTAGTAACCTACCTAATACTTACAAAACCTGTCTATAACATATTTTTAATTTTACAGTTGGAGACGTCGAAAATTAGATAAAGTGTGGCACAATCTTCACATTGGCAGGACTGAACCAAGCTTTGCGTTTCATTTAAAATAACTGTAACACGATAACCTTCTTTACGTACTTTATGCTCCGGAGAACTCGACCTTTTACTGTACATCATTTTCCATCTCTTTTAATTTGGACATAGCCGATTGCATTATCGCCGTAAGATTTGTAGAAGCCGCTGAATAAAATACGAAGTTTAACAACTACGATTTTTACATACCGTAGTAATTTAGTCCCTTTCATTTCTAAACTTAAAAACTCTGCGCTTTGGACAAAAAAAGTTATAACCATGTCAACGCTAACTCTTGGTAAATTCCTGGAGTCTGCTTTGATAAACGCAACTTTCATTTTTATTAAATGTAAAAAAACGCAATTAATATTCCCATAAAATAATATTTACTTTAACAACCATAACCTCAAAGAAGTTGTCATAACAGGAGTGACGTCACTAAACGCTGATTGGTGTTTTAAAATACGTTCCGTTTCAAGTATTTTTAATTCGTAATAATTTGTTAAAAAAACAACATTATGTAAAATAAAAACGTTGCAGTGGCATTTCTTTTATATTTTTTTAACATTTTAATCATAAAATTTTCATAAATATTATATATGCATCTTCTCTATTGATAATATCCAAGTTTCTGAAGCTGGAGGAAGGCGCGTGGAGGTATAAATATGACTTTAATTTTCATTTTTAGTAGAAGCTAAATATTCTTATGTTGTGATCAAAAGTCGTATCTTTTTAGGTATTCTTGATATGCGGTCTACTTTAGTCGGTGTTATTCGAGTTGACCCAGCTGAACTACTTGAGGTGGGATTGCTTAAAGAACTCGACAGACATATCAGTAAGAAATTCGTGGAGTTTCTGGAACCCCCAGCCAAGAAAGCATCGTCAACAAATTTACTACCGCGTTTACAGAAATTGGCTGAAAGCATGGATGGATATAAGAGGTCTCTAGAGTACATTCAGGATTACATTAATATACATGGTCTCAGAATATGGCAAAAACAGGTATGTTTATAATACAATCCATAAATATTTTCAGGCCATATTCCAAGAGAAACGTTGAGCATAAAATTGAGCTCAATAATATCCTTAAATTATTAAATAAGTCATCGCCATTTATGTAAAGGGGCTGTATCTTATAATAATCATTATAGATAGATAGTTAGTTTTAATAGAATGTGCATTCCTATTGACGCTATAACAACAAATAATAGATATTTTAACAACCGCAGTGAGTTTAATGCTCGACTCCATGACTTCATACATTGACGATTGCATCTTAAATTCTTTCCAAACAGAGTAAGTATTATCTTTAAGATTATTTATGATGATACACTTTGAATGTGTTTTTTAACTTTATCATATGTACATTTCTGATTTCCTTTTGTACGTAGCGGAACTTCTCCTAAACGGCTGTATCGACTTCGCTGAAATACTACATTGTGCATTCGAGTGGGTCCACTGGTTGGTTAAGATTCACAATTATATGTTCGATAACTTCCACCTACCGAGATGGCGGTTGTTGAACAGGAAAACGTCTCTCGGATCCGCTATTATTATTATAATTAATTCGGTACTAAACAAATTTATAGATATCGGCGATAATTAGCGAAAGTGTAGCCAAGGAAATCAGTTTACGTAAAGGGGTTACACTGTACAGCCCATCTGCCGGTTTCATGGGCAGTCTGGCGCGGCAGATTGTACAATTAGCGGATGTAAGGTAACTGACGTTGCTATTTAATTTCTTAGTGAACATTATGTCGGTTCTTTGCTTTGCATGACTATTCGTATACTATTTCATATTTGTCATTTCATTCTTACCCTGCGTTACCACTTGCGCTCACAACAGTTCTGAACGAGCAAACATTTGTTCGCTCGGTAAATGGAATGCTCAAACCAAGTGTTAATTCGCCGTTGCATTGTTTCCATTGATGACTGAGCAAGTGAGCATTCGTTTCCCGAGTCCATTCAAACATCGTTGAACGAACTTGTTCGCTCGTTCTGATGTTTCCATGTACCGAACGATCAAATATTTGCTCGCTTAGCGTTGTTCTGAGCCATAGAATACTGAAAGAGGCTAGAAGAGCCTTGTGGGCGGGGCAGGACCTTGTAACTGTAACTTGACCAAAACTTAGTTCTGATTGCGTCGTTTCTCTAAGTGTGAGCACTGATTAGTTCAATTGTTTGATGTCGAGTCGTTTTCATAGCTATTATCAATTAGGTGGATGTGTAGTGGAGGCGAGTCGGCAACATCGGTTCAAGTACAAACTATCTATGATCACCCTTCTAACCTTTTTCTGTGTTCTGAGCACTAAGTGGAAACGCTGCATTATAGAGCATAATAAGGATATATTCCTGTGAAATGTACAAAATTATGATGTTTTTTTTATAATTATATTTGACTCGGCTTTCAGAATATCCGTACCACAAAATAATAAAACTGAGTCGGTTAGAGTGATCCTATAATCTCTCTAAAATCGCTTAGTTTAATAAGTCCATTCCCCTGTTTAACGACCCATCTACATACTTATATGTAATAATATATGATCGACTCGCACTAGATCTTTTTTTATATCAAAAGTTAGTCTTTTAAATGTAGTATTTAAATGATGTAATTATTTTAGTTCTTTTATTTTCTACACATCGTTGCGCACATCTATCTATACCGAGCTCGTGATTTGCGAATCACTATCCTATCCTTTTATAACAAGCTCGATGCGCGTTCCTATAAATCTATTGGCGTTGTATAATTAACAAGAGGTAGATCTTAGCGGCTTTACCGCTTTAATTGGAATGCTGGTCTGAGACAATAACCTTCGCCGCACAAAAGACTACGGTAAAATAACCCTATCTTTTGGTAACAAACATAATACATTCTTCCGTTGGTGACATTTCAGTATAGGGTTGAGTTTCGGCCCCTAAGATCTGATGTTATGTATACCTTAGTGAAACTTCACTAAGGTACACATAACATCAGATACGGTAGGCTAATTTGCTTTGTAAAAAAAAACTAGGTAAACATGTAAATAAATATATTATTATTCTGATTGATTCATCTCTACCACTTTTAGTAAATATAAATTGTGTGTTCCTGGCAGGAGTTGCGTCTACTTGAGTATCAGTACTGCATGGCATGATATCAAAAATCAAAACGAGGTCCTAAACAGCAAATTCTTTTCAAAACTCAATGAAGCTGTAGGTGTTGTTGGTCTATTTGGTCTTGATACTTTGTATGCTCATATGATAAAGAATCAGCTACAAAATGTTCACCAAATACTCAGAAGTAGTCAATACAAAAGTATTTTGGGAAGTACAAGAACAGATGTGAAAGAAATTGATCAGCTTCTTATAAAGGGACAAAAACTCTTGCAACAATTATCAGAAGTTTTGGTGTTAGTGGGAACATTGCAAATCATCAGGAAACATATAGCATATCAACTCAATACTATGTGTAAATTTGACTCTGCACACCTAGAAGCTGCGCTGAGGACAATGAACGAGTAAGTCGCAATATATCATTATCATATAGACACAGATGACATATGCCTTAATCAAGATAGATGTAGATCAAGGTCACCTTACGGTATTGACATGACTTCAGCAATGCCTTTGATACTGTCAATTTTGTCATTCTTCTGGCGTTGCTGTGCTCAGTTAATGTATCTCCATCGGCAATTGAGTGGTTTCGGCGCTATTTGCAAGGACGTAGGCAGAGGGTTCGCCTCGATGAGATTTTTTCCTCGTGGAAAACGACACTTCTGCCGGTGTTCCCAAGGCGGCGTTTTATCTCTTCCATTCGTTAAATTTATTATTTGTATTTAATGAAATATGTTTTCTTTCCAGTACCTATATGCAAATGATCTTTGCCCCTCTCTGCCTCGCTTTTAGCGATAAGACCGCCCATTGAAGCACATTTACAGGTGTATTTCCATTCCCATTTCTGTACCTGTAATGTGGTGTTTTCATTAAAGTATTATGTATTGTAATGTCGCTACTGCTTGGGCACAGCACAGCCCACAGACTTTCCCTATGAATGATGGAATAAGGAAATTTGGTCATTACACCCGTAGGCACAATACGAATCAGTGGGTGATAACGACTGCAGATGTAGCTGGGACCAACGGCTTGACGTGCTTTCCGAAGCACCAGGTAAAAAAACATTATTATTGTTCACCAATCCCATAAATAACCGATTATTGCTAAAATTGTTTAACTTCCATGATCGCAGAATGAACGATCTTACACCACTTGCGCTATCGGGATCCGCTAGATACTCGGCGTCAAAAAAATCGCACCTCCGTGAAAATATTTCAACACCCCCCCCAATGTCGGTGTCCCCTGAAACGTTAGGCGTCCGCGTCCCTCCCCTGAAAAGGAAGACCCTAAACACTTTTCTTCTATGTTATAACATATTAAGTAACTCGATTAATAACATACTAGCAAACCAGTGAACCAAATGTTCACCAAAACCTGATTTCTCGAAAACCAGAAGTGCTACGTTACTCAAATCCGGTATGTAGTCTTATCAGACTATTCTTAATTTATAACTTAAATATTCTCTTTATCTATCTCTTACGGTTTGGCCGCTGAAACAGCACCACGGACAGACGGACTCGTCTAATAGATAAGAGACTAGCAAACCAGTGAACCAAATGTTCACCAAAAAAAAAAATGTATTTTATTAATTGAGAACTTCGGAGATTTTGTGTGGTTTAGTTTGAAATAGAAATCACGTGATTTCTCGAAAACCGGAAGTGCTACGTTACTCAAATCCGGTTTGTAGTCTTATCAGACTATTTTTAACTTATAACTTAAACATTCTCTTTATCTATCTCTTACGGTTTGGCCGTTGAAACAGCACCACGGACGGACGGACGGACTTGTCTATTAGATAAGAGATTATACATAACAACATGTCAAAATCCCTTTTAAAAGATTCACTAATCTGAACTTAAATTATTTCATTATTAGGTAATTTTATATAAACAAATTATTATCAAAATAAATCCTTACTATAATTACTAAACAATTATTTACGTTGATTTTTAACAAAAAAAAAATCATTACATATTAGAATTTTACATTTTTATTAATCTTTTATTAATTCCAACATCACGTTGGTTGTATCTCTTCCTAAATAGCATGTCTTAAAAACAATTATTTATTTTGCTAATAAAATCTTTCTTATTACGCTTATTTGTATAATAAATGTTAGATAAAATACTGTTATTGCTTGAGCTGTCTGGCTCATTCGTACTTATTATATTTATTAACAATCTCATTTAAGGCAATTTTGCCATTTTTATCTTTCGAATCACTTTTTATAATTAATATGGGTAATACAACTTTATATTTCTCCCTTAAGTTATTAAAACTTTTAACCCATTTTTCATTAATCATCAAACCTTTTATTTCTAAATCCTTACAAAGCAATTCGACATCTTTCGCTAGTCTTTTCTCTTCTAGGAATGACACAGACTTTATATAAATTTCTCATTTTAAAGGCGCATAAACACATAAATTATATTTAGAATGCACACACTTCTTATTGTCTATTTTGTCATTAAAATAATCCTTAACAATTACGTTGACATAAGACCTAGCTTTTACTTTATCTGCTTTTATTGCAGGGAACTCTTTCTTAGAGTTAGCATTAGAGATTGTGATCTCGTCAATAGCGAACATATTTTCCTTTCGTATTTTATAAGAAGCTTTTCGCTTGTCCTTACATTGGTTAGACTTAATTAAGTTACCATTGCTTTTACTTAGCAAATCATTTTTACAACATACAACTTTTTCTAAAAAAAATTCGTCTAACTTTAAATCATAACACTCGTCATTAAAACTATTTATAGATTTTATTATCTCAGTATTACAAGTCTCTTTAAAAGAGCACACCTCATCGATTTGAGCACGATTTTGCTTATCTAGCGCTTTGCGCGAATGAACTTGACCGTAGCGCGGAATGTGAGATTCAAACGTCTTGCGAACATTCTTTTTATTTGCTACGCTATAATTTTTATAATAATAATTTCTTACTCTCGGTCTGTAACTTAACCTTGACTTATAGTAATTACATTGCTGAATCATATTTTCCTCTCTATTAAATGATGTGATATATTCCTCGAGTGCTATTTGCATAGCATCCTTTAAGAGCGTGGGCTGCCTACACTTTAAGATTAAATTTATTCGACTACTATTAACCCTTCAGCAAAACATCTTATTGCAAATATCTCATTTAACGGAAGCAAAATTTTAATCTTTTCTTGATCATTTTCCCATTGAGCAATAGTTAATTCAAAAACTGTTATAGTTTATTGATCTCTAAACCAAATTGTTCTATAAACCTACTTCCTTGTTTGCACTTAAATAATTGAAACTAAATCGATGATGGACATTTTTTCGGTAAAAAATAATGTTTTATGTCACTTATTAAAAGATTAATACTATCATAAGAAGATTCTAAATAAAATTTTGCTGTTTCCGACAGTCTAGTTTTTAAAACAAAATTAATTAAGGTATTTTGCGAGTAATTATCAATAACGCTACTGTAAAATTTGTTTTTGTGTAATAAATTGTGTAACATGCTCTTCTCCCGTCATTCTAGGTAAGAAGGCTAGTGCGGTCTCTAAATCAAAACTTGCCATTTTTACAAAGAAAACATTAAAACTTTAAATTGCGAAAATACATTAATAAACAATAAATCAAAAAACTACCGGACAAAACTCATATAAAAAAATGAGATGAATTAATTATTAATCTGTATTTTAAGATCTTAATACTTATTTATTTTAACAAAACAAAAAAGAATGTCCGGAAATGTTTACTTACTGTTCTTAATGCTACACTACAACTTTAAATGTAGCTTCATGATTTCCTTCTTAATAACGTAGTCGTTTTCATGCCCTTTTTAGTATTGGAATATATCTGCATCTTCAAGGTATTTTCATATACAGTCGTGGTCAACTAATTAGGGACTTTCAAGATAGTGAAGAGCAATAACCGGTTATGTACATATAAATATAAAACCCTATTCATTTCTCAGCACCTATTATTTGCATAATTTGGTCCGATTATCTACTATATAAAAATAAGTCGGGTTTTCCTTCCTGACGCTATAACTCCAGAACGCACGAACCGATTTCCACGGTTTTGCATTCGTTGGAAAGGTCTCGGGCTCCGTGAGGTTTATAGCAAAGAAAATTCAGGAAAAATTAAAAAAAAAATCGTTTTCTTTTAATCACAAAATGAAATCTACTATATAAAAATAAGTCGGGTTTTCCTTCCTGACGCTATAACTCCAGAACGCACGAACCGATTTCCACGGTTTTGCATTCGTTGGAAAGGTCTCGGGCTCCGTGAGGTTTATAGCAAAGAAAATTCAGGAAAAATTAAAAAAAAATCGTTTTCTTTTAATCACAAAATGAAATGTTACATAAAACGAAGCTATCTGGTGGCGAAACGGAGTTCGCTGGGTTTGCTAGTTATGCTATAAATGGCTGTAAATAAAAGAATAAATAAATAGAAAAAAGGATTTAATATCAAAGGTTGAACATGTATTCAATTTTAAGTTATAATTCTGTAGCTGGACATTTAATTAAGGACAGTAAACTATAACAAAACTAATAATCTGCAGTATTATAATATCTTTAACAGCTCCATTTTATTACGTGTAAAATCAGTACCCAGTAGCAAAACCTTTGTTAGTAATTACCGCTTGACAACGGTGTGGCATAGACATTACAGTTTCTGTCATATTTCGACAGGAATTTTTGCCCATGCCATACAAAAAGCTTCATTAAGTTCATCTAAAGTTGTGGTACGATAAGTGGCAACTTTTTTCTTGATTTCGTGCCAAAGGTGCTCGATTGGGCCCGGGCTATTTGCTGGCCAATCTAGCACCGATACTGACTGACTGGTAAGAAACGACTTGACTGAACGAGCGGTATGTTTCGGGTCGTTATCATGCTGAAACGTCCATATAATAGGGAGATGCTCCTCAGCATAGGGAAGCATCGTTTCATCCAATATTGCCTTGTATTGATGTTGGTCTAAGTTACCCTGAACTTTCCTCACAGGTCCCACTCCACGTCCAGAAAATGAACCCCACATTATAATGTTTCCACCGCCATGTTTCACCTGCTTTTTTGTGAATCTTGGATTCATTTCCGTTTTCCATTAACCTTGGTCTCGTCAGAGCATAATATATGTTGCCATTGGGCGTAGGTCCAATGTCCATATTTACGTGCAAACGCCAAACGAGCATTTCTATGTTCTTTCTTTAACAACGGTACTTTGCGAGCCACTCTTCCGAACAACCCTGCTTCTACCAGACGTCGTCGAACGGTCCTCGCTGAGACACCAGCTCTTTCGTCTGCCCCAAACACTTCGTGTTTAATTAAAATAGAGCCTAGAAACGGATCTTTCTTAGCTAACCTGGTTATCATTCTATCTTCTTGCGGAGTTGTTTTTCTCGATCTTTTCGTTCTGGGCACATTTA